TGAGAGAGAGAGAGAGAGAGAGAGAGAGAGTGCACACATGGGAGGGGCAGAGAGAAAGGGAGAGAGAGAGAATCCCAAGCAGGCTCTGCACTGTCAGCACAGAGCCCAACGCCGGGGCTCAAACTCACAAACCATGAGATCATGACCTGAGCCAAAGTTGGATGCTTAACCGACTGAGTCACCCAGGCGCCTCCAGATTTAGAGTCTCGTGAGGGCCTCTTGGTTCATAGATGGTCAGCTTCTCAGGGTGCACTTAACATGGTGGAAGGGGTGAGGGAGCCAGTCTCTTCCATGAGGGCTTTGCTCTCATGACCTAATCTCACTGGGACATGAGGATTTAATATATGAACTTGGGGGGTGAGGCATAAACATTCAGTATAATGCAGTGAGTGTCTGTGGGTGTTGACTCTGGGCCCCCACATGGTCACCACCCACACTCCCTTGGGAGGGCAGGGCCAGCTATTTGCTAAACATTTATTGTGTGAAGCCCAGGGGTGGAGAGGCGGAGCGGCAGAATATCCCTGTGGACCAGTGCCAGGGCAGTTAAAGGGTAGTGAAGCCAGATGAATAAATTAGAGAATGGTGTACAGATGAGGTCAGTGTGTAATTTCGAAAATAAAATAAAAGTGGCAGTATGCTTAGAAAAAAAAACAGTGAACTTCCTGCTCCGTAGTAACTCAAGGTCAGCCCCCTGTGCGCTCTCTGGTGGGTGGTTGCTCTTTCTAACATTCTAACACGTCACTGGCCTGTGTCATGTCTTATCAGAAGTCCTGTGATCTGCATGTCACTTGGGCTGGGCGTTCCCACTTGGGCTGGACTTTGTTCTGAAGCCTGCTTTCTGCCAAGGCCATAAACGAGTTTGCAAGAGCCGTTGGGTTTCCACGCAGGAAGAGTTTGCGGCTGTTTCGGGGACACGGGTGTGGAAGCACATCCAGGAATTCCCCGACGGGCTGAATGTGGGTGGACGCCCAGGCAAGGCAGGGGCACAACACATGGAAAAAGAGGAAGGAAAGAGAAGGTCTTGCTTTGATGACTTCTCGATCGGCAGAACTTTACAACCGTAGAGTCTGCAAAGATTTTTTTTTTTAAATTTTTTTAAATATTTATTTTTGAGAGAGAGAGAGAGACAGAGTGTGAGCAGGGGAGGAACAGAGAGAGAGGGAGATGCAGAATCTGAAACAGGGTTCAAGCTCTGAGCGGTCAGCACAGAGCCCGATGCGAGGCTGGAACCCACAAACTGGGGGTTCATGACCTGAGCTGTAGTCAGACGCTTAACTGAGTGAGCCACCCACGCGCCCCTGCAAAGATCTAATTTCAGCACACATAGAATTTGTGTGTGTGTGTGTGTGTGTGTGTGTGCTGCATGCATGTGAAAACACAATCTTTGCAGAGCTTTAAAAGTCTGAGGACACGTTGGCCAAAGGCAGGATCTTCCAGGGGGTCTCCCTGGGGGTGGGTGGGCTTGGCTTCCTTGGCCAGCCACACTCTCTCACCTCCTGGGGCTAGTGTTGGCAGACAGAGGAAGAGCAGGGGTAGGGGGAGAGCAGGCTGGGCTGGGTCACGGCCGCCGGAAGGAGGAAGAGTTGTGGGAAGCATGGAGGGGGCATGTGAACGTGGTACCCAATGCTGCAATCCCGGAGTCTCTCTGGGGAACTGCTCCCATGGCTACAGCCTCTCCCAGCCCTTGGGGCTGCCACAGCTACTGCTCTCCCTCACCACCTCAAGGGCACGGTGGCTCCAGGGAATGGGGTGGCCAAATCAAGGTGGTTTTCTGGAGAAAACATTAAGAAGGAAGCCACCGCTTGGTGGAATTGTACTGATGCTCTGATTCCAAGTAGCGGCGTGTCTTTGAAATGCAGTAGGAGGACACTGCGGCCGTCAGCAATGGCAGAAACCGTTTCCATAGCAATGACAGCTTTTAAACAGATTACTGCGCCTCTTTCCCATTAGCTGGGGAGGATGCTTTGACCCTCTGTGCCATGTCCCCCCCACCCCCACCGCTGGAGCCAAGTTTGCATAGGGGGACTGAGAGGGACAGGGGTGTTCTGTGTGGTCTGCTGGCTCGGTGGTTTTGTGATCGAACAACTTCTCAGCCAACCCCATCCACTGTGCCCTGACCACAGGAACGTACGGAAAAAAGAGAGAGACCCCGACACCATTCAGTAAATATTCCTGGCTCCGTTGACTTGGATCTTAAATTAAATAGAGCTTCAACCTAAATGTATCTTCTCTTAAGACCACATGCTACTAAAGAGAGAGCAGCTGTCAGGGGAATAGAGCTTTCCCGTCACCACCACTTACTAGGGTGCCCATTTGAAGAAGACCAGAGCCTTCTCTCCGAGGGCCCAACCTGTAGTTCGCTATCCCTAGCATCAGCCATAATTCCCGGTGCTTAGTGGGTGCTTATTAAACGTTTGTTGAAAGACATAAACAAGAAGAAAGAGAATATTTTCTTCTATGATTTCTTCTGCTTGCCCCACCCCACACCATATTTCAAAAGGACAACCGTAAAACAGCCCCCGAGGCTTTCAGGAGCATTCGTCAATCTCCATATAAGGTACGGACATGTAGCGCTACAAGTTTTTGTGTAACTCAACTGTTCCTTTTAAGGAACATTAAACAACAAATAAAGCTTTCCAAATTGCCTGCTTCCTCCCCAGCCCATTTTCTCATTTCCTCCAAGACCGTCCATGTGTGGACACCCAGCAACTGCTGGTGCCCGCTGGCCCCTGGCTGCCCTTCACAGCCCCTCCTCCCCCAGATCCGTGCTTGAAGGAGGGAAGACACCCTGAATGGTACAGTCACCTTCAAATCTCTCTGTATTTCCCCATGCTTTTCCTCTCTCTCTTTATGCATTTTCCTCATATACACACGGATCCCTGCACATCCAAAATTGCAAATCATAGATTGTTATATTTGCCTATAAGCTGGGCATGTAATAGAGCACATTTTAGAACAATGAATTAGTCAGTAAATGCAGGAGATATGATGTAAGTACATAATACATGAATATGTAATATGCTAAATAATACTCAGTAAATGCGTGGTGGGGTGATGATTACAGATTAGAAGAGGCAATCCATGTATCTGAACTCCACGGGAAACTCTGGGGGGCTCAGATTTGGGATTCAAGACCATTTTTAAAAATTTTTCTTTTAACTTCCACCAAAGGGCAAAGGGTGTCTGAACAACTTGGGGAAAATTGGGAGGCCACAGGAGTTTTGGATTAAAGACCCACAAATTAAGTGCGCTGCTCACATCCTGGCCTGCTTAAAATGCTGCCCAGGAGGAGATGATTCTTTTTGTCTTTCGCATGGGCAGCTGCCTCCTTCTAGATGGAGAACAAAAGGCCCCCGCTGTTCTCATGTACGTTTGCTGTATGTTAACTATACACCTGAAGGTACCTTATATACATTGCGCGGTTTACTAAGTTTGTGTAGTACATTTACTCACCTGTTGAATGAGTACTTATTGAGTGCTAGTGATGTGCCGAGTGCTGTTCTAGGCACCTGGGACACAAAACCTCACAAAACAGGCAAAGGGAAGGGGGAGAGACTCAGACAATAAGCAATGACACACACGAAGGTGTGATATTGCGTAACATCACGTAGTAAAGGTGGGGACTATGTGCTCATGAGGGATGCACAGAGAGGGCTTCTCTGGGAAGGTGACATTTCAGTAAAGCCCTGAAGGAAAGCGAGTGAACAAACCATTAGAATGTTCTAGAAGAGGGAGCCGTCAGTGTGAAGGCCCTGAGGCAGTGAGCAGCGCTGTGTGATAAGTAGAGTGAGTGACAAGAGTTGGCAGGAGGGGGTAATGGGACCAGGTTGTACAGGGCCTTGCTGGCCACCATAAGGACTTTGACTTTGACTCTGACTGAAAGGGGGGCTGCTGGAGGCAGGAGAGTGACATGCTCTAACTTAGGTTGGAAAATCCCCCGTGGCTGCTGAGGGGAGAATCTGGAAGGAGAAGAGGAGAGCAGAGGAACTAGTTGGGAGGTGATGACGGAAGCCCAGGCCAGCAGAGCTGGGGCCTCGACTCAGGCGGTGTTGGAGGAAGTGGGGAGACAGGCCGGGGTCTGGACCTGCTTTATGGACCCGACAGTCTTTGCTGATGGATGAGATGTGGGGAGTGAGAGAAAGCAAGGAGTCAGGGATGACTTAAATGTCTGGCCCGAGCGATTGGAGGAGTAGAGTTGCCAGATACTGAACTGTCTTGTGAAATATTCTTTTATTTATTTATTTATTTATTTATTTATTTATTTATTTATTTCTAGGAGAGAGAGAGAGACAGCGTGAGCAGGGGAGGGTCAGAGAGAGAGGGAGACACAGACTCTGAAACAGGCTCCAGGCTCTGAGCTGGCAGTCAGCACAGAGCCCAACGCGGGGCTCGAACCCACGAACCGCGAGATCATGACCTAAGCGAAAGTCGGACGCTTAACCGACTAAGCCACCCAGGCGCCCCTGTCTTGTGAAATATTCTTAACGGCCTGTGAGACAGACAGGCAGGTCTCAGGCACATTACAGATGGGGACGGTGGCGCTTGAGCTGCCCAGAGTCCCGAGGGGCAGGACGTGTTTAATCCTAAACTAGGACAACTGTATTAGTTTCCTGTTGCTGCTACAACAAAACGCCAGAAACTCAGAGGCTTTGGAGCAACACGGATTCCTTATCTTTCAGTTCTGGAGGTCAGAGGCCCACAGTCGGTCTCCACGGATGAAAACCAAGGTGTTGGCAGGGTCGTGCTCCTTCCGGAGGCCACGGGGGAGTTACAGACCAGCGGTGCCGGGGCTGACCTCCCGTAGTTTGGTTTCCACCTCTGGGAAAGGCGGACAAGGATAGCCCTCCCTCCCAGGCCTTTTGAGGAATTTAGCAGAGACGGCAGCTCTGAGGGCTGATATCACTCACATTATGGGCAGGGTGGATCGGCGCACGGGTCAGCACCCGCCGCGTCTCTGGCAGGACTCCTGTAAGGGAGCTCTTTGCTTTGTTCGCAGTGCAATGGAGCATCCACGGGGACCCGGGAAGCCTCTGTCAGGGAGGAGAGCCAGGTCTCTGGAGAGGTCACAGAGCCCCAAGAAGTACCGCAGGTGCTTCTCCCTGCCCACCACGCCCTCCAGGAGGATGCTTCACCGGACAGCCAGCGATGGGACCAGATGTCCCCAGAGCCCAGCTCAGTCTGTGGAGGCCCAGGATGCCACGGCCATAGCCCTCAGCCTGGAGGAGACCAGGGAGTTTCTCCCCGGTGACCAGAGGCTTCCACAGGACACCAAGAAGGACAAGGCCCAGAGACGGGGCCAGCAGGGCTGGCTGAAGACCTTGATGAACCTCTTCCTGAGGACAGGCCCTGAAGAGCCCAAGGAAAAGGCCGGCCGGAAGGCAAAGGGGAAGGAGGGCCTCCCCAAGCCCGCGGAAACCCCGGAGGCACCGGGGGACACAGCTCCGAGGAAGAAAGCCCACGACAGGAAGGCCAGCCGCAAGAAACACGGTCACAAGAAGCACGTTGTTGAGGAAACCAAGGGGGCCCAAGATCAGGAAGCCGAAGGCCAAGAGACAGGGCTGCCCAAGATGGCTGCCACCCCACGCTCTGAGGAAGCTGACGTGGGGGGCCCAGCACCCAACGGTGAGCAGACCACGCCTGGTAACCCCACTGCCCCACCCCCAGGGTACTCTAGGCCGACTCCTCAAACCTCTCAACAGAGGGGACATGGAAGTTGGGACAACCATCAGGGACAGCTCCACCGTGAAATTTCTTTGAGGTAGAACAGCACGCTGGCTGAGAGCCTGAGGTCAGACCCCAGTTCCACCACTCATTAGCTGTGTGACCTGGGGCTGGCGACTTTCCTCTCTGAGCCTCAATATTTCTTCATCCATGACATGGAGATGATAACAGTTGCTATCTCAAGGGATAGCAGTGGCCCGGGGCTGTCACGCAGAAAGTGCTCCGTTAAGTGGCAGCTGCTGTTGTTAAGGACTCTAGTGGAAGGAGCACAGACTAAGGAGAAATGGAAGGCAGGGAGGGAGGCGAGGAGGGAAGCCCTGCCCTCAGCGTTATCTGGGGATAATGCAAGGACTGAGGTTGTGGCCAGAGAAGTAATAGTGGGCCACCCTGGGGCGGGGTCTATATTTCACTATTTCTGGAATAAACCTGCTCTGTGACCTTGAACAAATTGCTGCCTGTCTCTGAGACCTTTGGTTCTTCATTTGTAAAGTAAGGAAGCCAGTCCCCGCAAGGTGCCTCTCTGACTCTCAGGTCCTGGAGGTGAATCCCCCGTAGGCGCCTGGAGGGAGACAGAGCCTTGTAGCTCAAAACGCACCACGATTTTAATGGGGAGAAGGATATCTGGGTTGATGCCCCTCTTTTCAGCTGGAAACCTTAGGTTTCTAAATATTTTATTTTATTTTATTTTATTTTATTTTATTTTTGATTAAGCCTATTGCTGGCTGCATCTGTGCCTATCCTCCTGTGAATTTCTGTCATTTTATTGTGCTCATGAACAAAGCCAGAAAAATGTCACTGACGCCACTAACCCCCCTCACCCCCCCATACGCTTGTTCTCATCTTCCTTCCAGGTGGGGAAGGTTCTGATCTCCACCCGTCCTTGCTCATTGAAGATGGGGGTCCTGGAGTGTCAGAGGTTGCTTCTCAAGCCACAGGTCATCGGCGGGAAGAGGATCTCAAAAAGCTTGACCGTAAGTCAGAATCTTCTAAGTGTTCTCTTGCCCTGCAGCCGAGGGGGTGGAGGGGTGGCCGCTGCCAAATGAGATGGATTGTTCCAAATGACTGCTTACACCTTGGATGGTTCCTCTCCAAATGAATGTACTGCTCTTGCTCCTTCTGGCGCTTCTGGTCACATTTACTTATTTTAGAGTTTCACAGAAGGGAGGCTCAGGAATTAGAACGGCCACTGGCAAATGTTCCTGCCTTATGTGTTAATGAGCACGGGACTTTTTTAGTCTTTTGAGATTTATGGAAGGAATGTGGAATGGAGGAACATAGAACTTACATATATTTTTAAATATATGCCAGTGTGGAATAGCTCGACTCACAATTGTCGACCGTAGGCCAATATTTGCTTCATAATTGTGCGTGTGTATCATTTTGCGGCTGAACCATTTTAAGTAAAATGATCCCTCATCCTTAAATATGGAAGCCCACATCTCCAAGAAATGAGTACAGTGTCACGCACAGCCACAATGCTGTTATTGCCCCTAACAAAATCGGTAATGAATGCTCTATTAATCTAATTCCCTATAAGGAATGGGCATATTTTAAGAGACGTCAAACATCTATGTATCTTCCAGAGAATAAACTAAAAGGCATCTAGTTGGCTATTTTGCAGGCTATTTATTTTGCATGCTGGTTTTTCAGACGAGAGGACGTCAGCCGGTAGACTGAGTCAAAGAACAAAAGCCAGACAGGATTTATAAATGAGAGGGAGGTGAGGGAGGGGAATAGAGGGTGAAAAAATCTGCAGTCCCAGGACCAGGGAGGCTTGTTCGCACCTCTTTTCTGTGAACAGATCGGCTGACGGGTAGCAGAGGTAACTCTGGGTTTGTCTTTGGATCAGTGGACTGGAATAGAGAAGAAAACTGTTTATGTGGCCTGTGGTTTCTCTGTAAAGATGTGGTGGTGTGCCTGAGGCACCGATGCAGCCGGCTGTCTGTGTCAGGCCTGCTGGGGTCCCTCTCTCCGGTGCCTCAGTGACACTGGGTCTCTACCATTTCCCCTCCTGGGATTTTTCAGTATTGCCCGTGTAAAGTATTTCCAAGCAGAGTCCCCTGATGGCCGGAGAGCCTGTTGAGTGAAGTGGGACAGGAATGATGATTCTCACATCACAGGGGAAGAGAGGAAGGCCCAGAGAGGTTAAGAGATTTACTCCAGGTCACATGGCTTGCCGAGCCCGAAGCAGAGATGTACAAATCCGTAAAGGTCAAGAGCAATAATGGGGGCACAGGGTGAATGCTTAAAGGGCTGACCTGAAATTGCCTGCATAAAATGTGCTTTGGCCTCCTGCCCTTTCCCTGAGGATCTCCCAAGCGTCTCTCAGAAGGACTAGCTCCTGGGACATGGTGCTTTTCAGCACTTCCATGGCCCAACAGCATCCTCACTTAACACAGGACTCGGTTGATCTCAGAAGGCCAAGACAGTCATTAGAGAGAGTTCTCGGTGCATCTAGAAAGATTAACCAGACACATTTACTTTTTTCCAGAGGATAGTGTCATCAAGAGGATAGTGGAATTCCTCCAAAAAGTGGGAGACCAGTGGGAGCAAGAGGTAAGGAGGGAACGGTCTGTGGAGACCCCCACGGGCTCGCTGCTTCCTCCTCCTCCCCCTGCTCCAGGCCCACTTGCCCTTCTGGGTCACAGGGCTCCTCAGCTCTGGGCTTTGTCGCCTCCCTCGCCTGGGGCCACCTCCAAGCGCCTAGCTGCTTGTTAGCTGTTTCCCAGGGAGCTTTCCCTCTCCTCAAGGTCAAGGGCCTAACTCGGTTTCTCTCATTTCTCCTGCAGCAGCTTCAAGCGCCTCAGCCAGAGGTGGTCCCATACACTGCAGTGCCGGCTGACAGGAAGAAATCCCAAGAGAAAAAGTCGAGCCTCAAGAGAGCCTTTTCTTATAGGAAATATGGCCCCGAGGAGCCTAAGAGAGCAGGGCCTGCAGACGTTTCCAGCCCGGAGTCCCGGGCCCCCAAGAGGCCCAGCTTTCTTCCCCTGTGTGTGGGGGGCCATCAGCCCTCCACCTCCAGCAGCCCTGGTGAGCAGGCTCAGGGTTACCATAGCAACACTGCAGCTGCCTCCAGCTCTGGACCTTTCTCCAGGGCTGGAATGGGCCATTTGAAGGGGCTGCCATCCTTGTTCTGGGTTCTGCTCTGCTCTGAGCAGTGGGGGGGAGGGGAGAGGGAGGGGCATAGAGGCAGGGGAGCAGTAGGGAGGAGAAGGGGCTGCCAGCAGGTCACCTTCTCTGTCTAGGCAATCCAGCTAAACCCCTGGTGGAAATCGTGCTGAGGAATCCCCTAGTCTCCGCATCTCTCCACAGCCTCAGCTGCTATACCCTGGCAGGGGGTAGCACGGGAGGAAGGAACCACAGCCCTGGAGGCAGGAGACCTGGGTTCTGACCTGTGCTTTCTATGTCATTCCCCGTCTCTGTGCCTGACTCAGTCTCCTCACCTGTAAAGTGAAACACTTCCCTACTGTGTGTCTGTACTCTATCAGTTTTCATAGCCATATGATTATCCCCATTTTACAGATGAGAACACTGAGGGTTGGGGGAGGTCAAACAATGTGTTCAAGGTCACGTGGCCCACCAATGATGGAACTGAGCTGCAAGAGGGAAAGGATCTTCCTGGGAGGAACAGCCTAGCCACCTAGCCTTGCCAGCGGAATTCACATTTTAAAAAGGAGGGGCCATGCTTAACACCAAATATGGAGCCCCCGCGGTAGAATATCAGGCCCCACAAGGGGAGACATCTTCATGCAGGGGACCCGGCCCTGCTGCACTCATCTGTGCCATGAAATCAGGCATTTATTTTCTAAGCCAAGACGCCAGAGGGATGAGCTTGCCAGGGAAGCGGGGAGAGGAGGGCCAAGCCCAGGAAAGCCGGTTGTAAGGAGGTGCAAAGGGATAAGGGAGCTAGGTCTGGGCCAGTACATCAGGGCTCTGACCCTGACCCACAGCTCCCCTCTGTCCCAGCAAGGCCTTCGCATGATCTAACCCGGGGGTGAACTTTGGTACCTCTTCTAACATTTGTGTGTTCGTTAACACCCTTACCCTGATGAAACATGCCTGCCATTTCGTCTTGCTTCACAGACTCGGAGGAGCCCAACGTGCAAGAGGTCCTGCCTACAGACAGCGGGGGTCTGAGTCCCTTCGAGCTTTCCACCCCAGCCGGAAGCCAGGGACCCGAAGAGGACTTGCGGACGAACAGAGCCTTGGAATTCAGTTAGTACTCCCTCTTTTTCTCAGAGCCCCCCTCCCCCACCGCCAATTTGGAAATCATCTGGTCTGACTCCATCCTGACCCAGAGAGAGGCAGTAACCTGGCCTTGACTTTCCCTGGGTGCAGCAGGCCTGGGAAGGGGCAGTGGGGGGTCCAGAGCACAGACCCCTGTCCTACCCTGAGTGAGCCTCAGCAGCAGAATCACAGCAGCGAGGACAACCTCCTCGGTGAGGCCGGCCCCGGCCGTGCCCGGAAAAGCCTTGGCCCACGGCACGGGCTCCGAAGACGATGTGATCTTTCGGGCGTGGGTTTGCATTTGGACTCTGACCTCTTCCATCTGTGTGAACTTGGATGAGTTACTTCATCTCTGGTTTCAGTGTCCCCAGCTGCAAGACGAGGGGTTCCTAGATCCTAGTCGTTGGACGATGAATGCTGATAAAGCAGGCAGAGCAGTTAACAAGCTACTTAGAGCTAATAAATGTTAGCTGCCATTTATTGTTATTGTTGTTGTGGTTATGCAGCCCTGTAGCCTCGGGAGAAATGGAGGGGATAGGTGGGGGGTGGGTAGGGGGCCATAGGAGGGAAACACCACAAATGGCAGCTGCTGACTCTATTATTATACCCTTACCAGTGGCAAAGCCATGACTAGAATCATGGAATCATTGTCAGTTGTGTGTTTGAAGACACTTCTCTTTTTTTAGGTTTATTTATTTATTTTTTTGGTGGTGGTAGGGGGGAAGCATGACTAGGGAAGAGGAAGAGAGAGAATTCCAAGCAAATTTCCAAGAAAGAATCTGATGCAAGGCTCGATCCCATGATTTTTTAAATTTTCCTTAAAAAATTTTTTTTAAAATTTTATTTATTTTTGAGAGAGAGAGATCAAGCACAAGCAGGGGAGGGGCGGAGAGAGGAGACACAGAATCCAGAGCAGGCTCCAAGCTCTGAGCTGTCAGCACAAAGCCCAGTGTGGGGCTTGAACTCATAAACTGTGAGATCATGACCTGAGCCAAAGTCAGACGCTTAACTGACGGAGCTTCCCAGGCGCGCCTGAAGATACTTTTAAATCTACCTTCCCCCATATCCCCCATTCTGCCTTGTTTGCTTTTCATAGAAAATGTGCCTTGAAGGGGATTTGAGAAGGGCCCCTGTTCTAAGTAGAAGAGAGGAAGGTGCTGGGTGAAGGGATTTTTGGGAACCAGGCCTTTCCAGACGGCCTTGAGTCACCCTCTCCTGGAGGCAGGGGACCTCTGTTATTTTCCTTAAAGTGGCACATCTAGATGCTCTCAATGAATGGAGAAATGAATATTTTCCCTCTGAACCAGCCCTGCCCTCAGGCTACTTCTGAGGGACCTGGGGTTCCCCCCCCCCCCCCACCGCAGGGCCTGTGACAACAATAAGTGCAAGCTCATTAGCGCCCTGGAGACCTGTGAGAATCACCCAGGGAGCCACGGGGCCTTAGGGAATGAGGACTGACCATAGAAATGCTTTGCTCCACACTAAAGTACAAGCAAACGTTTTATTCTTTTTAGAAGAATTCATCCAGAAGATCATTGCCCTACTCCAGGATGCCGAGGAGCCGGGGGGAGAGGTGAGGAAGCCATTCCCCACATAGATCCTGACCCTCACTATGGACACCCCTGCCCCTACCTGGGATAATAACTTCCCTGTCCTACATCTTTCCAGAGCCTGGCTCCTGTCCCTCCTCCTTCCCCCCCGCGTGCCCCCCCCTTCCCGCAACCAGTGGCTGCCTGCAGCCGCTCTGGCCAGGCCATACCCTCTGGTCTGCAGGGGACCTCAGTCTATCTCAGGGGCGGCTGCTCTCCTTCCCCAGCTCACTTGTAATCTCCTCACGGTCAGGGGCTCTGACTCAGTCTCTCTCATCTTCCCCGCAGCAGCTTCACGTCCAGGAACCAGAGGTGACTGTAGAAAACCTGTCCCCGCCCTCCCGAAGGAGACCCCAAGAGAAGAAGTCTAGCATCAGAAAAGCCTTTTCTCATAAGAGACATGGCCCCAAGGAGCCCAGGAGAGCAGGGCCAGCAGGTGTTGTCAGCCCCGAGTCCCGGCCGCCCAAGAGGCCCAGCTTTCTGCCCCTGTGTGTGGGGGGCCATCAACCCTCCACCTCCAGCAGCCCTGGTGAGCAGGCCCAGCGTTGCCATGGTAACAGAGGCTGCCTCCAGCGCCAGGCTCCCTCCAGGGCGGGCTTGGCTGGCTGTGTGGCCTCTGCTTCAGGCTCAACTCTCTTGGGGGGCCGGGAGGTGTAGGAGGGTTGCGGGGAGGAGGGGCCCGCTGGATGCCGGCTGGACTCACCACCCGACGCACACGCCCTCCCTCCCCCCAGACAAAAACACACCAACACTTAAAAACAAATGCAGTTTGGGGCGCCTGGGTGGCTCTGTCCGTTAAGCCTCTGACTCTTGATTTCAGCTCGGGTCATGATCTCACAGTCTTGAGCTTGAGCGCCGCATAGGGCTTCGTGCTGAGAGCATGGAGCCTGCTTGGGATTCTCTCTCTCTCCCTCTCTCTCTGCCCCTCCCCTGCTCATGTGCATGCACACACACACACACGCACTCATGCACGCACGTACACACACACTCCCTCTGTCAAAATAAACATTAAAACAACAACAACAAGTGCAGTTTGAGAGCAGTGCATTGGTTTAGGGGCTTAAGCGCACCAGACTCACCTGAAAGTGAATACAGAAACACAGACCTCGGTCTAACGAAGGAGGATATGGCCTGGGCCTCTGCTTTTTCACACCAGCCAAGTGTGAGGTATACAGTGATTCCCTTGGCCTTTATGGAGTGCCTACTGCATGCCCCTCTCACACATGTTACCTCGTTCAACCCACTTACAGCCTGGTGAAGTCAGTCTTGTTATGCCCATTGGACAGATGGAGAAAGTGAGGTTCAGACAGGTTCAGTGATTCGGCAAAGCCTCCCAGAGTGACAGGGAAGTGGGCTCCTTTGGTGGGATCTTGACAGGCCTGCTTCGTGTTTCCTCCCAGGCTATGAGGAGGCAGAGGGCGTTAGGAAGAAGAACGAGGTTTCCAGAGGGGGTAAAGAAGGCCCCGTGAATGCCTCTGAAGCGGGCCCAGGGGGCTGGGGGCTCACTGAGGAGCCTGGGAAACCAGGACCCCGGCTGGTGCCTGTGTCTTTGGACAGTTTGTCGTCAGAACCCGGGCTCCGTAATGTACTTGTGGATTTGAAACAGGCGCCAAACACACTCACACCGTCTCCTTTCTGCCCGCAGACCTGGAAGATGTGGAGTTCCAGGAGCCCTCGCCTGCAGAGGGGACGCCTGTGGGCTCCTCAGACGCACCCTCCCAGACCAGAAGCCACCAGCCAGAGAGGGGACCTCAGCCAGATGAAGTGTTCGAATCTAGTTAGTACCACCCCGCCCTCTCCTGGGAGGGATGCCCCGGGGGCTTCTTTTTGCATGGCTCTCACAGGCTGAATTCCAGTGGAGACTGGGAAGGCTGCTGGCAAACACCCCGGGAGACACTAGCAGGGCAGGGAGGAGGCAGGGTTGGCCTTCTGGCGGGTGGATGGGTGCTCTTGGGGCAGAGGTGCAGGCGGAGCATCCCCTTCTCGCAGAGAGCCCCTGTCGGGTCGGTGGATGTAAGTTTGGTGGGTTTATTTGAATGTTTCCTATACAATTCCCGGCTTGCTCTGGGTCTCATAACCTGTGGACTGGCAAATAGGCTGAGGGTGGTTGTTGGGCAGCGAGGGGGGCGGGGGGCACGAAGGGAGCCCTGATTTGCAGCATTTGTAGACCTCTATGGTGTAAATATTCCCGCTGCGGCTGATTTCACGTGGCCAACAGTTGATTACAAAAGGTCCACAAATGTCCTGAATGTTTGCAATTAATTAGGTCGTGGTGTGAGCAGCCACCCGTGCCCAGGCTGGCGGGTGCATTCCTGTTGCATCTGTGGCTGTGGCATCTCCCCCTCCCTGCTTTCTGATGAGCTGCTCCAGGCCCCAGCTCGCATTCCTGACCGCGCTACTCTGTAGCCTGGATCGGGGACGTTGGGAGGTCTCGGGTTCCCTGCCCGTCAAATGGAGCTGACATGACGCTTGACTGGCCAAAGGCCTTTCCATTTCTGTAAAGCAAACTCAGAGAAAGCTTTCGTGCTCCAGCCCTAGTTTTGGGGAAGATTTTTCTTTGCCCTTCGAAACTAATCTGTGTGCTGTGTTTTGGAGACAGTCTGTCTGTAATGGATGGATGTGTGGTTCCAGAACTTGTCAACAGCCCCTGAATCCTTCTTTTCTTTTCCTTAGAGGAGCTGATCATCCAGAATCTGGTGGCCCTTCTCCAGGAAGTGGATGGCCAGCTGGGGGAGCAGGTGGGGGCTGCTGGGTACCCCCGAGGCTGAGGCCCGTGTTCAGTCCCTAGCCCTACATCCAGGGGACCTTGGGTGTCTCCCTCAACCTCTCTGAGCCTCGGTTTTCTCTTTTGCAAATACCTACCTCTATGCAAATACCTTTTGATAAATACCCACCTGCATCTTTTTGCCTGAGGACCCGCCCCTCGCACCATTTTACCACCCCTGTGGGAGGCCAGAATAATCGCTCCCACCTCCTGAGACGCAACCATCAACCCATGGCTCGTGGAAACTGGTGTATACATACGTCAGGTCCCTTGCCCCTCGTGGGGATAACTCTGAGGAGAGTGCTCTGCGCAGGCTCCTGGAGTGTCCTGGGAGGAACAGTCTGCCAGGACTGCCTTCCTGTCCTGCCCCAGATCCACGTTCCCCCGTCACTGTTTCCCAGCGTCACTACCAGCACCCGGGCCCTTGTCTTTGGGGGGGCCCAACCTAGGACTCTTAGGTATTAAGAGGAGACTTAGTCATAGAATGAGAACTAAAATTCATCCAATATCCACTCTGCATGAGACACTTTACATCAACTAGCTCACTTCATCCCCTTCCCCCAACAACATGGCATGCGGGTTGGGGTATCGCTCCTGCCGTTTCCCACATGACTCCACAGAGGCTCAGAGAAGTCACACCGATAGTAAATGCTATTTAAGCATCCGTTATACAAAGCCCTGCACTTTTCTCCCCCCACTTTGTTCTGCTGCTTGGAGTTGAACCTCGCAGAACAGGTTCTGAGAGGATGGAGGTAGTGGAGGCATTTAACAAGGACACTGGAGGTGTCCCGCCCAGTCCAGGTGCATGAAGTTGGGGTGACGGGTAGCCAGTGGGAGGGGGCTACCTGCCAGCAACACTGACGGCCGGCCTTCATTTCTGTTTCCAGATCAGGCGACACCCCAGCTTCAAGAGGTTCTTCTACAAGCTCTCGGACTCCTCCCTCAGGAAGCTGGGAGCCACCCTACAGAGCCAGAGGGCCCGCTCTGCCGAGCCGGGCAAGAGACCCTACCAGTTTGCCTTTGGCTTGACTAACAAATTTCCCGGCAACAACAGCCACGCGGTCTTGAGGGTCATGGGCCTGCACTACAGTGAACACAGTTATACCCACTTCCAGTACAGGGAGGCACAGCAGGTGAGAAAGAGCCTGAAGGCACAAGTGAAGACAAATTCAAGATCCCAACAGGATCTACTCACTGTCCTCTCCCCTCCCCTGCTGAGTTCGTGACTTTTTGGTGTCCCGCTCCAATGTCACCTCCTTGCTGAGGCCTGGTGAGACAATGATACACCCACAGTGACCTTTTTCTTCTCCAAAACCCTCACTGGCTTTACGTGATAATCAGCACCTTCTTTATTCGGCCCTGGTCCATCATTGTATGTACATTTTCGTACTTTTTGATTTCGGCATGGAATAGTGGACCGGGTGCTGTCTTAGCTTGCCCTCTTACTATTTCATGGGTTGTGCTGTTTGGCTTCCCAAATTTAAGACCGTCATAACACTTAAACAACAAGGCGAAGTAAGATTACGTATCAAATAAGGGCTGATTGAGGTAGATGAGGGGTCTTTGGGCTGTTGGTTCTGGAAGGCTTCAAGGGAGCGATCCTTCACTGATCTTGTCTTGGTTAATTGATTAAGAGTAGCTTCTCCCTGCCATCAATCTCTCTTCTGGTTGGTTTCATGGTTTTCTTAATAATCCCTCATCCCCTAAGACTCTGGGATGGTCCTGTTAGAAATAATACTTACCACTGATTAAAAAAAATTTTTTTTAAATGTATATTTATCTTTGAGAGACAGAGAGAGACAGAGTGTGAGCAGGGGAGAGGTAGAGAAAAAGAGCAAGAAACAGAACCCGAAGCAGGCTCTGAGCTATCAGCACAGAACCCAAGGTGGGGCTTGAACTCACGAACCGTGAGATCATGACCTGAGCCAAAGTTGGCCACTTAACCAACTGAGCCACCCAGGCGCCCCAATCACTGATTTTTTTTAAAGTCTGAGTTTTCATGTTTTTTTGGTGGACTTTGATAAAGTGTTCCCCTACGTTTTTAAATTCACTTAGAATAACTTTGCCTACAGACATTTCGATCCAGATCTTTAGTGTGGAAGTTATTGAATGAAGAAGGCATGACATTAAAGGAATAAAATGTTCCATTTGTTGGTTTTGGACAACCAGGACCGGAACTTCTACAGCCATCTGGCCCCCTGGGCAACCAGACCTTTATTGCAATGACATCACCATCATGCAAACACTCTGTCTTCTTCTCCTGGAATTACCTTTAGAAGCCATGTAATAACCCTCTCAAGATAGCTGGTCATTCAAATAGTTTGCTCTATGTTGGTTTGTTTTCCTGATGGGAACTCCTTATGACCTTCAACCTCTCTTTCCTCAGCCTCATTATCTTTGCCCAGATATGGGGGTATTATGGATCATTTGCCATCTAGGAAGGAAGGGTTAGGCAATAGCTTGTGGAACACTTTGTGAAAGACAGTATAGAAACATCAGTTCTGATATCCTCAGTAGCCCTAACATCCATCTTTACTAACCATTTATTCATTCATTCATTCAGTCAGTCACTCACACATTCATTCATTCAAACAATAGGTATTGAGAGCCTCCATTGGCCTAGCTGTGCAAGGTGCTATGAGGACCTGTGGATGGTTCTCCTGTAGAAAAAGACAGCATGTTTACTGATGACAAAATTAAGTATCAGAAAATACCAAATAAGTGCTAACTGAGGCCAATGAAGCCATTGGACATGGAAGATTTCCAAAATCTATGTCAAAAGGCATAGTTTTGTGCTCTTTGAGGATGGCGAGGAGAAAGGAGGGGAGAACGGACCAGGAGAGCACAGCAGGCAGGAGATACCAAGTGAAGATGCAGAGGTGACAGCTAGCGTGCTGTGTTGATACGTTAATCAGGAGTCTGTTGTTACGAGGGTAGGACCCACAGGTAACTGGGCTATGGCTAAAACCTACGTTCTCTTTCTCCCCCCAGAACATCACAAATCCTGACAGCCAGAGTCCAGATTAACAGCCGTGCTTTGCACTCAAGTTCCCTTGAACTGTCCAAACAATGGCAGCTTTAGCCAGAAGCCTCAGAAGATGCCTCACAGTAGCCCATCCAGTGCTTCACAGACATGAATGAAGACAAGAGAGGATGGCCACCGGCGCCCCTGTGCCTTTGTGGCCTCTTGAGACTGAGATACACGGTCTTAACTGGAGGCAGAGTCCACGTAAGGGGAAGAAGAGCTGGAGTGGGGAGCTGGGAGACCAGAGCTCCGCCTGCTGACCTGCCCCAAACTTGCTGCGGGACCCTGTACTTGCGTGCCTTCCTCTGGGCAAGACAGTGTGACCCACTGGACACTTTCTGACTCTATCATGCTGAAATCTCTCTAAAGGGGGGCCCGTCGGTGCTTTCATTATGTGGCCAAATACAACCCCACAGAGCCCGAGGCAGCCTTCAAGTCCTTGTCGGATGAATGCACAAACAGATGAATGAGGGGGAGCACTCATGAGATCCAGGCAATTCTACAAGGCCTTGGTCCTTGGTCCTTGGGAGGCCTTGGTCCTCCACGGGAATTGTGGAACCAGTCATTCTACCTCTAAATTGGGGTTTAGGGAGGAAATGGGGAGCTACTTGGATATTGGTCCTGAGCATTGGGCCAGGGGTCAAGCCTTCACCTTTTGGGGCTAATCCTAGTACCGACTTATGTGGCCTTATTTTTTTACCATCACATATTTTCTTGCTCCATAAGGGCACAGACCATGCCGCACTATCACATAGAAGTCCTGCTGGCATTTTCTAGATGTTAATTTCAAATGCGTCTTAGTTTTTCAAAATACATTTTTGTTTAATCTCTCACCAGAATACACGCAGACATTCATGCATTTAAACAGATGTGCATTTATATGCAACAAATAATTTATTTTTTTGACAACGGTGCTTAATGCCCATATAGATTTGTAGGCACCTCTCAGGAAGGCTGCAGGCCTCAGATAGAGAAGACCTACAGATCGGGGAACCCCGGGCTCTCAGAATCTTTCCAGCCCCGTGTCCTAGGATTCTATGTTCAGAGAAGTGACACTGATGCCTTGCACGTCTCCCATCTCATGCCTTGCCAAGAGTCAGTGAGAAAATGAATGTGAAGAGTTCTGAAAATTACATAGTGCCATGTCCATGTATGTTGTTATTCTTATTATAGTTACCATCTGGGTAGTTTTCAGGAAATGAGGGAGGGCTTTAAGCTGGATTGCCATGGATGGTTGCACAGGTGTGCGCTACTCAAGAGCACCATACCCCAGGTCGTGCTATTCACTTCCTAGACATTGTAGATTTGTGGATTTATGATAATAATTTTCTACCTGATGGCCATAAAGTATCTTGTGAAATATACTTTTTGCATAAAGGTGAAGTGTGAGCTGTTACAGGCTCTGCCTTGTACAAAGCTGAATAGTTTGAACAGCTTGGCTCAGATGGGAAATTTGCCACATGTCCATTATGTACTTGTGTGCCCAACAGGGCTATGAACATAGCCCTTGGACATTGCCTGAAACACATGGTCAAGGGGAGAGGGTGTTAACATCTAGACTCACTCTCATTACCCTTGACAGACATTCTATTGCTATGTTAAACGTTCAGTGATCACTGTGGGGTAAGACTGGGGAGGGGGGTAAAAGCTAGGGCAGAGAGACCTTGGGCACTTAGATGGGACTGGCCTCAACTCTGAGGCGAAGTTTCAGGAAGTTCAACAAAGCATATTCTGGAAGTCATTTCATTTTACTGCTGCTTCTAAGGAGTGGGAGAGAGGTGAGCTATTTATGGATTTAGTTTAGACGGTGTTCAGGAACGCCGCCCCAAAATGTGAAAGATCAGAATCAGACTTGAAATGAGGGTCAGGCACCTTCTGTACATAGTTTCTTATTTAGAATAATATTCTTTAAGCTGTATGACTATTTGATATGAGGTCCTGATGCTGGCATCTGAGTCTCATTTTTGTACTGTTGTTATTTAAGCCAATAAAGAAATTGACAGACAAAGGTCTGACCTGGATCACTCATAGTGGTGGGAAGATGGGGGCCCACCTGCCACAACTAGGCCAGTCTGGTGCCTGCAAGGCTGTGAGGGTCAGTCCCCTTGTTCCCGCCTGGGGACCCTCTCTGGTTGCCTTCCAGATGTCCCATCCTTGAGCACCAAACTGCTAAGACAGCAATGAAGAGCCCTGGGCATCAGGAGACCTGGGTTTTAGTCCAGCTCACCGCAGGCTGAGGACCTCAGGAACATGATATTCACCCTCTGGACCTGACATCCTACAACGCTATGACTTTTAGGATGACGGTCAATTGTATGTCCAGGAAAATCAGGGCCAGTCTTGATTCTACATCATCTGTTTCCCTAAGTCCCTAACTTTGGTGCGCAAACTGCCATTCAGAACCAGGGTACAAATGGACGGAATACGGTGTCTGGCTTTTGGTCCAGAGAATATGGTCTCTACTGGAAGGCGTCGAAGGCCTCCTCTCTCCTCTCTCAGATGACACATGAGTTCTTCCAGGGGCTCCCTGGGGAAGACCACCCTTTGGTGTGCACAGCTTGTCTTCTTTGCCAAACGGCTTTTCCACTTCCCACCCTTGAAGGCTCACTGTAATGCTCCGAGGAGGGCAGAAGAGGGCAGCGTCTCACTTCATAGAAGAGGAAGCTGAGGCTCATAAGGGGCAGGTGCCTCGTTCAAGGTCACGTGGCCACTTACAGACAGAACCAGGCCAAGACCCAGGTCCCCGAACCCTTGTTTTAGTGCCTCCCCTTATTGTCTAATCCATCAGTTCTTTTACTCAACCAATATTTACTGAGCATTTACTATGTGCCAGGGCTGATCTAGCTCTATGGAATACACAAATGCAGAAGGCACGAATGTCCCCCTTGGGATGCTCACGGACCTCACTAGCTATGGGAATCTTGTGCCAATAGGGATGTAGGAGGGTGGGACACCACTGTGTGTATGTGTGGGGGAATGGGGGCTCCCTCGACTCACACCACAGAGGCTCTCAAGAGCATGGAGGCGCATGGGACACGCTATTGCTTCAAATCGCTTTCCAAAGTTGGATAAGTGACGTCAGGACTTAATTAACCTAATTTCTGACCCTGAGACGTCAGGAGGCTCAGTGAGTCAGAGATAATGGGGTCTGCCAAGACCCGGTTGAGTTCGGGATGTTAGCTGAGCTACAGGGAGGGCTGAGCCACACGCAGGGGTCATTTGGATGCATTTGTTTGGAAGACCAGAGTGTACTCTGCCCTTGGCCTCCACTCCAGGAAGACATCCAACTTCAAACTACAGCGACTGACACATCAAAAAACAATCTCCTAGTATTGGCTTAAAAAAAAAAAAAAAAAAAGGAAGGTAAGGAGAAAGGAACTAATTAGAGTTGCCAAATTTAGCAAATAAAAATATGGGTGGCCTAGTTAGATGTGAGTTTCAGATATACAACAAATAATAGCAATACTGGGGCCATACTCATGCTGACTAATTATTCATTGTTTCTCTGAAATTCAAACTTAACAAGACGTCCTGTAGTTCACCTGGCAGCCCTGGGACTAGTGAGAACAATTCTCTCCATTGCCACCTCAGGGGGAAAAGGGACGGACGGAAAATATACACAGGAATTTATTGATTATAACTATAACCTGACTCTAACAGAAGGGCATCTGAATACAGGCTTTCAGTTAAAACAATAGTTACTGTCATATTCAATCCCCCCTTGCACACCAGGGAGTAAGCATTCCTGAAACCCTTCCTCCTTCACACGGCCTCTGGGCGTACAGCTGCTGCAGACCACAAGAGCGCTCCTGGGGGACAAGCCAGGGGACCGCAGCCAGGTGGGACCTTCCCCCCCCCCCCCACGTGGTCCCCAAGGCGCTGCCCTTGACTGGCCTGAGCCACAGACTCGGAGTAGGAAGACGGTGCAAGAACCTCTGAGGTTTGATTCTTCTCAGCTTCTCGAAGGGACAGTTGGATGCTTCCGGGCAGAACCTTCTAAAAGGAGCTTTGGCGACTCCAGCTCTCTGACGTGGTCCGGTCAAGTGCAGGCTCGCCCCAAGCCCCCTTGCCACAGCCCCCTACCTGCCTCGGCTCAAGTTTGCATGCATCCTCCAGAGATCCCAGCCAAGTTCAAGGCTGTCTTCCTTCCGCCCAGTCCTCTGGGTTTGGCATGCCAGGATTGGCTACCCGGGCTTCTTACTGGGCCTGGCTGGGGCTGGAAGCTGTTCACACTCCAGTGAGCAAGGGGGGGCTGGTGTTTTTCTGGCTGGGCTAGAAAATTGGAGGCTGAAGTCTCTGTTGTGGAGCATTTTCACCGAGGTGTGAACGGCAGACAGGGCCTACCCTCGTGTGCTGCCCTCATGCTTGGGGATGGGGGTGGGGGGTGGGGGAAGGACATCTGGTCTCTGTTTCCTCTACAACCACACCAGGACTCAGGGGAGCCCAGGAAGGCCGGCTCCACACGGCCGCCCCACACGAGCCCTGGGGAGCTTGTCATCACCGCATGCCGGATTGGCTCAACGAGCGATTCCAGGGAGCAGCTGAGGCACAGCCCAGCGGTTCCAAGTCAAGCCTTTGGGACACTGTGAGAATTAAAAACCAAACCAAACCAAAGAACTTGGTCTCTTGACAGGAAAGAGGAAAGTGTGTCCATGGCTCAGTACTGCTCCATCCCCAAGGGTTTGGCCCTGTAGACTAGATACTGGGGGCCCGGTGTCTGACATGGCTCATCTCAAAGAAATGAAGTCAGGCTGGGGCTGGGGGGAAGGCCCAGAGCCCAGCGGGCCGGGAGCAGGATGTGCTGTGTGTCCTCAGAGCCCACGCATGTTAGTGTCCATCTGTCTGTCTCGAGCAGAGTATGAAGGACCTCAGGGAAGCTGATAGGATGTTTGGACAAGGAAGTGCTTGCCGGGGGGAATCAGGGTCCTCCACACCAACGGGCTTGGGAGTAGGGAACACCTGGTCCCCAGGGGTGAGGGAAACATATCTGAGAGTCTTGGGGAGAAGGTTCTATGGTGGGGTCATCAAGTTCTCTCCCATTCCAGCTCAAGTTTTCTCTCTCGGCTCAAGGCTTCCTAGAAAAAGGACAGAGATCCGTCATTTCGAAGTCTCTCCTCTAGGACGTTCCTCTCCTTATTTCCACTGAGAACACCCCTCACGGTTTCAATGCCTCAGGCAGCCCCAGGCAGGTAGCCAGGCCCCTTAGAGCCAACTGGATGCATAGACTTCAGAAATCTCAATTTATGCCAAAAAACAGCTATCAAGTCCTGCTTGGTAATTACAAGGGTCTTTTGCAGCTGGAGAATTCCACTGACAGAGCAGGAGTTGATGAGAGTGTTGGAAACATCATTCAATTTACAAAAGTCTGGTTAATATTTGGTTTTTCAGGAAGTGGAAAGAAGTGGAGTGGCCTCCAGAGGGCTGAGTGCAGTTGTGCAGACTGCACACTGTACAAGGAGGCACTGCCAAAACAAAGGGTACACGTTTCATGGACATATTCATCCTGCAGCTTATTTGTACCATTTTCTGTATATTATTTGTACAGTACTGCGGCTCTGCATGTCATTCATACAGATTTCTAGGGGTGGAAGTCAACTGTTTTAACAAAACCAGTATTTATCACAGTCTTCCAGCAGCTGGAAATCAAGGTCTCCAGGAAACCGTACTGTTTTCTCAGTACACAAGGCAATATATGGGCTAGTGTTGGCTTTGACTATGGCCGGGAAGAGGCAGGTGGGGTCAGAAGAGAAATTGGGTGGACAACATCCTGGGACAGACAGGCAGTGTCTGGCCTCCGGGGTCACTCTGGGCAGTTCCACACCTCAGAGCAGCTGTATTCCTGGATCCGGCTGGGATGAGGCCTATAGGTGACCCACACTGTCTCGGAAGTGGAGAGCAGAGAGAAGTCGAGTGGGCAGGAAGCAGGCCTGGTGGGAGAAGCCAAGAAAGCACGTGTGAGAAATGAGACAAAAAGGGGACACTGCAAAGACCTGAGTTTTAAGTATGAAGGAGGAAAATAAATGTTTGTTTTGTAATCCACTAAGAGTGTGTGTGTTGGGGGGGGGTTACTTGTTATGTAACGTTATCATAGCAGCAATAACTGACTAATACAACTAGTATCAGAGTATGAATTTGAACATCTGATTTAAAAAACACACAGCGGGGGCGCCTGGGTGGCTTAGTCGGTTGAGCGTCCGACTTTCGCTTAGGTCATGATCTCGCGGTTCGTGGGTTCGAGCCCTGCGTCGGGCTCTGTGCTGACTGCCAGCTCAGAGCCTGGAGCCTGTTTCAGTCTGTGACTCCCTCTCTCTCTGACCCTCCCCTGCTCACGCTCTCTCTCTCTCTCCTAGAAATAAATAAAACATAAAAAAAAAAACCAATAAAAAACACACAGCGAGAGAGAGAGAGAGAGATTAATGTATGGAACCTTGTAGCTTTTAGCTTTTTACTTTTATTTTTAAGTAGCCTCTAGGGCCAACATGGGGCTTGAACTCAAGACCCTGAGATCAAGAAACACCTGCATTACTGACTGAACCAGCTAGGCACCCCTTACCCTGTAGCTTTTATTCTAGCCTCTCTTCTCTTTGTTGGGTCGTCCCAACAGACTCACCTGGGGACCTGGAGTTTGCACAAGACTAGGCAATGGAGTCCATTGCAATGGACTAGGCAATGTCACTAGGAGTATCACTTGTGATTGTAGATTTCCTCTCTTTCTGGGTTGCTCCTCCTCTCTGCCTAATCTTTTTGAACATCTCTTTTTTTTACCCCCTACCCTGGTTTTTGAAGCCCAGGGTATAAATTTGCATGGAATTGCTTAAGACCATCAATTGGTAAATTGCTTCCAGGCAGTTTCATAATCTGTTCTATAAAGGAACACTGCAGACAGAATGTGTGACCTACTGACAACAGTGTTTCCCACAGCTGTGAAAGTTGTTTTGTTTGTTTTTATCACAGGCTGCTGCTTTATAAAGCTGCTTGAATCCTAGAAGTTTGTCGACCAAGGTAGCGCTGGCTGAATTACATAGTTCCCACTGCTCCAATGTATAGGCAGAGACCTGGCCCTGAAATGAGGGGACCTAAGTCTTGGTCTGGCTTTCAGATGGCACTTCCAGACCCAAGGAAGCTTCCCTACCCCCACAGCAGACCTGCTTATGTCCTCATGACCAAACTGAACCTTGAACTCCTAGAGACAGAGATATGGACACTCCAAAGTCAAAGAAGTCTTGGGCTGAAGACCAAGGAACAGAGTGAGATGCATCCCAGGACACACTAAGCCCATGACCCCTCAGAACCACCAACTGCCTACTGGGTCCTGCACCCTCCTTGCCCATCCTTTAATCCAGAAAATGACACATGCGTCTGCCCCACTTCCTGCAGCAGCTGTGAGAATCCTCCCCACCATACTGCTTCCCACCACCTACCTGCCCAGATCTCAAAGTGGGCCTGTCGCTGCTGGGGTGAGCTTCTGACCCTCATCTATCTGATACATCGCTCTGCCTACCCAGGGATCCCACCTGGGACAGGAACAACACGGAAGGATGCCACTTAGAATGACTTGGGGATTTTTCTGACCAATGGAGGTTTGAATGAATTAGACAGCAGTGTGGGTCTGTCCCATTCAGAGAATATTTTGATAATCCAGTAAAATAGTTGTAAATGATTCCTGGCTTCATTTGTGTTTAAAACTGGCATTTTTGGGGGGAACCTGGGTGGCTCAGTCGGTTAATCATCTGACTCTTGATCTCGGCTCAGGTCATGATCTCATGGTTCATGGGATCGAGCCTTGAATCAGGCTCTGCACTGTCACTGCAGAGCCCACTTGAGATTCCCCCTCTTTCTCTCTTTGCCTCTCCTCCACTTGTGCTCTCTCTCTCTCTCAAAATAAATACACTTAAAAAAAAACCCAAAGGGGGCATTTTTCATTTGTAAGTGTGTATGTATATATGCATGTGTGTATGTATATATGCATGTCTCTTTTACAAAATGTTATGGCTCAATAAAAAATTTAAGACTTGGTTCTTGTCTTTGGTCTAAAATTCAATTTTGAGGGTAAACTTTTAAGTTGGGGATTGAGTTTAATTCATCTTTGCTCTCTCCAGAGCCCAGAGGAGTGCTTGGCATTTATCAGGTGCTCAATAAAGGTTGACTAATGGAATCAACGACAATATAATATAATAAAAAAAAAACTATAGTAAGCAGGCCTAAATTGGTTAGGGTTTTTAGCTGTAGCTTGGCAACAGTTTGGATCTCTACACGTTGAGAGTCACAGGGTCACACACTGTCTAATTTGGTTTCTAAGTAGAGTTCTACTGAGAAGGTAGCTAGTTAACTTCTGCCTATAACCCTAATATCTAACTAAGTTACTGAGGGCTAATTAGACACCTTGCATTCTGCAACAAAGCATTTTACATGTTGACCTCATTAAAGCCTCACGATATTATCCCTATTTTACAGATTGGGAAATAGAGGCTCAGAAAGACCACGCATCCTAAGCATGCTCACTGAGTGAGATAGTGGCAGAGCAGGGATTTTCTGTTGGGTGGATCTGACTCCAAAGCCCAGCTCCTCATCCCTACTTCTACTGATTCCCCCCTACACTTTGTGATCCTCCTGTAGACTGTTCCCAAAGTTTTTCTTCCCTGTGGAATTTGAGAAACATTAGTTATGCTCACTGCACTTTGCTGCCTGGTTTTCTGGATCGTGGATGTCTTGGGAAGCATTTTCTGGTGCCATTTGTCTTTTGTTTGTTTTTCTTGAATATCTTGCTCATCCAACTCGAGTCTTCACCAGGGTTGTCCCTGAGCAAGAGATGAAGCAAATGGTTTTTTAATAGCTTGCATTGTGTTCTCCACTATCAGCTCAGAAGGTAGACAGACACACCAATGCTATGGTTTTTAACCCTGGCTGAACACTGGAGTTCCACACCAAACATTTATTTTATAGTCAGTGACAATTTTCTATTTAATTTTTTAATTTTTTATTTATTTCTGAGACAGAGAGAGAGAGAGAGACAGCATGAGCAGGGAAGAGTCAGAGAGAAAGGGAGATGCAGAATCTGAAGCAGGCTCCAGGCTCTGAGCTAGCTGTCAGCACAGAACCTGACACGAGTTTCGAACTCACGAACCATGAGATCACGACCTGAGCCGAAGTCAGATGCTTAACTGACTGAGCCACCCAGGCACCCTAATGACTATTTATCTAAGTAACATTATGCCAACTTGTCTTTGGAAACTCAATTTAACTTTTATACAGTTATATGTCAATGCAATAAAATTTAAACTATGTGAATAAAAATGCATAGTTTAGGCCCAAGCACAAATTTTTAAAATTTATGCAAACTCTTTCAAAAAGTCTTTTTAAAAAATGTTTATTTATTTCTGACAGAGAGAGAGAGAGAGAGAGAGAGAGAGAGACCAGAGGAGTGGCAGAGAGAGAGAGGGACAGAGGATCCAAAGCAGGCCCTGTGCTGACAGCAGAGAACCTGATGCGGGGCTTGAACTCATGAACCATGAGATCATGACTTGAGCCAAAGATGACGCACAACTGACTGAGCCACCCAGGTGGCCCCAAAAGGTCTTATAATGAAAAGTATACTTAATGTGAGAGACAGGTATGTTTTAATATATTTGATATGATATGGAATGGGAGCATCAGAAGGACCTGCTCTGCCAATACCTGCAACTGTGGCCCCAAGAACCTCAGTCTCTGCCAATGCTGCCCTGGGGCAGGAGGGATCAAGATCAGGGAGGGGAGAGATACCCCTTGACCCACTCTCTGATCTCCTGCTGATGCCTGACAATGGCCAACCCAACTGGCAAGCAGCCAGCAAGGGAGACTGGGTAATGTGGTCCCCAAGAATTTAAAAAACAAAACCCAATCCTCAGACCCTCTCAGAATGACCACAAAGGTAATAATGGAGAACATGTTACACAACCCAGACAACTGATGTGCATTATAAGAAAAGGTTTTCTGGGGACAATCTACAACATAGGAATATTAGCCCTCTTACCATGCTGATAGAAAATAATGTGGATTAAGGGAGGCCTTTGATAGAGGGAGGCCTCTTTGATAAGGGAGGCCTCAATTCATACCACGTAGGGGCTACCTCAGGCTAGGATGTAACATGCCTACTAGCTCTCCTGAACTGAGACAGTTCCAGAGAGTAAGACATAAGAGGCTGAACATTCTCCGGCTGCTTTTGGAGAAGGTACATTGAGCACAAATAGCTCATTTCCCACTCATTGCCCCCACTGAAGAAGAAAGAAGTGTAAAGGGGTGGACTGTAATCATACAAACTGGAAAAGGATCCCAGTGTTCCTAGGGCAGCTAAAGTGAAGGAAAATTTCACTTAGCTGGGCCCCCCCTCCCTTGGCCAAAGGAAAGAATGTGTCCCCAGTTAAGGACAAACTTACATTGCATAAGGCTTGCTGGTGGCTTCCTTCATATTAACCACAGGCATGGCACCTTTCTGATTTGAAGAGGCAAGGCAAGCTACAAAGGCAAAAACCGAGGAGACATGAGTGAGATGGGGATGAGGAGGAAAACTTGGTCATTTTTGAAATAACAATAGGACATAAGCAAGAGTGTCCAGAAACAGAAAACAATTCTCTTAATCTCAAATTCTCATATTTAGGACCAGAACTATGCTGTTGGATTTGACAGAGACCCAAGGTAGTGGCATCTTGTGGCAGGACAAATGCTAACCTTCGGTGTAATGTTACCAACAATCCTCTCACAAAGAAGCAGCTGTGTTAGGGCAAATTGTCAGGAAAATGACCTTCCATCACCTGCTATATGTAAAGCTGTTTTTCTTTTTTAATGGAATAGGAAATATTAACAGTTTCATGACCATTGTTCTTAAGTAAGCTCTTTTCCTATTTTCTGTGAATATGGGGATAGATAATATATGAAGATGACTTTGTAATTTTGTAATATGTGTAAATAAAAATACGTAAAATATTTAAGTTCCTCTACTTGAAGTTCTTTCATTAGGGGTCTCATTGGATATCCCTGGCTCTCCCAAATCTATTGGCAGCTCCTTTGTTTATGGATTTTCCTGGGACTTTTTGCAACCCCCTCCACCCCCAACAATAACATGGCCATCACTAAATGACAGATCACACTAACCTCTAAGAGGCTCTCTTCTGCCCAACTCCCACAGATGGCCTAAGCTGTCATTACTGAGGCTCAGCCCAAGACTATAACTTTACAGCACTACTCAATGTAAGGGCCAGATAGTTCTCCATTGTGATGCTCTGCACTGCAAAATGTTCAGCAGCATCCCTGATCTCTACATACCAGATGTTACCCACTACCAGATGTTTCACTACTAAGTGAAAATCAAAAATGTCTCCTGATATTGCCAAGCGTCTCCGGGGGATAAAATGGCCCCTCATTGAGAACCACTGGACTGTCTGTCTCTTCTGTCTACCCCCAGTATGAGCAAGGAGTGCCAACCCAGGTCCCAGAATTGCCCAGGCTACCCAAAGATGGCTATCTTTAGGCACAAGTGTGAATAACATAAATAAATGCATTTCATTTAACAGCACATAAGAGAGCATGTGAAACACTTTGGCCAATTGTCTTACTTTTAATGTCCTGATATTTTTGTCTCACTGTGATTCCAAGAGTCAAATCTATTCCAGAGAACGTCTACCCCTGACTTGGGGCAGATCTGCCAAGAAGGAAACCGTCATGTTAATCTGTGCTAATGTTTGTCCTAATAACTATGGGAGTTTGGTGGATGGGTTCAGTCCAGGTCCCCTCTCCCTTTGCCCCCACACAGGCCATCCACAGTACCCAAACAGGTATCTTTTTCCTCCCGAATGATCCTTGCACTTTCCTTCTCTGTAATAGAGCCTCTAGAATAAACAAAACCTGAAATTCTCATTCTACTCTGCCCCATCCTGTCTCACAAACCATGATCATCCAAATCTTGTCCATTTCAGCTCACCTGTCTCCTACAAGAAGCCTTCCTCAGGGGCGCCTGGGTGGCTCAGTTGGTTAAGCGTCCGACTTTCGCTTAGGTCGTGATCTCGCGGTTCGTGGGTTCGAGCCCCGCGTCGGGCTCTGTGCTGACTGCCAGCTCAGAGCCTGGAGCCTATTTCAGAGCCAGTGTCTCCCTCTCTCTCTGACCCTCCCCTGCTCACACTGTCTCTCTCTCTCTCTCTCCTAGAAATAAATAAAAATATTTAAAAAAAAAAGAAGCCTTCCTCAATCTCTCAGAAGAGAACTTAAAAAAATCTTTTTTAAATGTTTTATTCATTTTTGAGAGAGAGAGAGAGGCAGAGAGACAGAGACATAGAGTACGGGTGGGTAGGGACAGAGAGAGAGGGAGACACAGCATCCAAAGCAGGCTCCAGGCCCTGAGCTGTCAACACAGAGCCTGATGCAGGGCTTGAACTCACTAACCGTGAGATCATGACCTGAGCCAAAGCCAATGCTTAACGATTTGAGCCACCCAGGTGCCCCAGAAGTAATCTTAAGCTCTATGACTACTTGACTACCTCCCACACTCCGGTTTTGTTAGTGATGGGGCAGTTACTAATTTTTTCTGTATTTTTGAGGCTGGTATCTCTGTCACTACTGGAGGGGAGATTTCTTGAGAGTAAGGAACTGAAAACTGTTCCTCTCTGAAGACTCAAGAGCAGTACCTTTCAAGCTGTCTGTAGAAGATGTTAGTTGTGAAGATTCAGTTTTAAAAAATCTTTTTTTTTGCAAGCCATAATGGACTAGTACTTTTGTGAAATACAATACAACGAATTAGTAGGAAAATGATCAAGATCTTAGATGTCCTGACAATATTTATTGCTAAAAATAGTCTTAAATGCTACCTCTGTGCTCATTTCGTTGTTAATTGGTAACAAATAGTTTGGGGATGAGCACTGGTCTCCAGAGCGCTCTTTGAGTACCACTGCCCCAGCATAGTGGCCATCACAATAAAAACCTCCTGGTACAGTGCTTCTCAAACATGGTTCTCAGAAGAACCACCTGGAAGGCTTATAAAAAATATAGGTAGCTGGGTCTCACTCCCTGAGTTAATAGGTCTGTAGTAGGGCCCGAGAATTTGCATTTCTAACAAGTTCCCAGATGATGAGTTTACTATCATGGTCTCTGACCAACCTTTGAAAAATCACTAACTAAAGACCTGAACAAATGTCAAGAACACTGTCCCCTTGTGGTGGCCTGTCTTCAAAACAGGTAAAGCTGCTAAAGCTAACTGCTCACGTCACCAAAGCACCTCTCTCAAGCAATGGTTATCAGCTGCCATGTTGTTGCACAGTTGCCAAGGGGCTCCAGACATAAGAAAAATACTTCTGGCTTCTTCTGTGAGAAGAAGTGTCCAGAAGTGTCCATACCTTGGGGCTGTTCTGGGCCCAGGTCCTCCAAAGGCAGCTGTGTAGGAGAACACTGGGGCAATGTTTGAGATGCCACTACAGCCGAAGGCCCCAGGGATGGCCTGGGTGACATAGATGGCTGGGAGGGCGGGGATCTTGGTGGTGATCCAGTCATTTGTACTTGCTGCTGTGATGGTGCTCGTGACTGGGCAGGTGTTGAGCTGAGTGTTAAGGGCACAGCTGGGAGGGAGGCAGGCGGCAGATCAGCCGGAGAATGTGCAGTCACCTGCAACTGCTCTGGCCACTCAAATGAAGAGGCAGCTGGTGAAACAGGTGATTCGACAGGACACTCATGTGTGGATTCAGGTGTTTCCACAGGTGAGGGCACACGTGGACCATGGCCGCCCTTTCCTTCCTCTTTGGGAGCCCACTGTGCGTGAAGTTGTATGGATTCCTCCTGCTCTGTTTGCAGGCTTGATTGGCTGCCTTCAGGGCACTCATTGCCAAGGGCAAGTTCTATGTTGCAGTACACTTCTACACGGGGGAACATCACTCTCTTGGACGGAGAATTGAGGTAAGCAGCATCTAGGAAAACAGATGGGGTCATAGATGGCATTACTAACCCCTGGCATCAGCATGGTATTTGCAGAAAGTGATTTCCCAAATTATTTTCATAAGCAGAATTAGTGCTTTTCAATGGCTTTTTCTTTACTTACTCAAGTTTATATTTGATTGTGGATTGATTCACTTATTCAATGGATACTTATTGAGCATCTGTACCTATGCTGGGCTTATACCAGGCATTGAGGAGTGAAGGAGACAAAAACAGTGTGATGGCTCCTGACCTCTTAGAGGGTACAGTCTGGCCTGGGGGGTGGGCATAGACCACCCAAAGAATCTCAAGTTGTGACCAAGACAAATTCTAGGCAAGAGTGAAAAATGATGTTAGGAGAGAGGGAAGCAGGGAGGACTTAATCAAGAGGGCTTCCCTGAGGGAGTGATGTTTGAGCTGAGATCTGAAGAGCGAGTGAGGGTCAGGTGGTGGTCAGGATGGGATGGGGAAGAGTGTTTCAGACACAAATGGGTGGGGGGGAACAGTACACACAAATGCCACAGGTTCAAGGGAGCATGAGGAGCACCTGAAAGGTCAGTGTGGTTAGAGCAGGGGTGGGGGCACTGTGGGGAGAGATAGGGCTGAGGAGGCCACAGGGGCCAGATAATGCTTATAGACAACATTGAGGGTCCTTGGTTTCCATGGAGACCATGAAAGACTTATAGGCGGGAGGATGTTGCACTGCTTCCGGGTTTGACAAGATCACTGTGGCTGCTGTATGGAGACTCACTGAAAAGGGCCTAAGGGACCCAGGGACACCTGTAAGGCTGCTCTGGAGAGGGATTTAGGGCTTGCACCTGGAAGGAGATAGAAAGAAATAGAAGATTCCGTTTCGGAGGTAAGATTCTGTTTCAGAGGTAAGATAAATGAGAATTAGCAATGGGTCGATTGAGAGAAGAGAGTAGCTGGTTTGCACAACCAGATGGATGCTGGTTGTTGAGAGGGTGACCACGGAGGGGATGGGTTGGGGGAGCAGTGAGGAGAGCACAGGCTATGAGGTTGTTTGGGGGCATGTAGATTTTAGGGGGCCTTAGAGATGTCCAAGGAGAGATGACAAGTGTGCGGTTGGATACATAGGTTTGGATCTCAGAGAAGGGATGAGGGTTAGAGGTGTACATCTGGGAGCCCCATCTATGGGTAGTAACTGCAGATGTGCTGGTGGCTGTGGAGAATGTGGTTCAGGGAGGAAAAGCACAGTGGAGACAGGAGGGAGCAAGGACCGGGTGAGGAGAGGGGGAGAGTGGAACCCAGGCCAAGTTTCTAAAATATGCAAGAATGGGATAGACCTGCAAATTGCTAGTAAGCATCCAGTCAAGAGTTGGGGGTTTGATATATAAAAGAGAGATAGAATAAGGGATAATTCAAGAGTCCTGAGATCTGAGGAAGGGGTCTGAGCGCAGGCTTTAGGCAAGAAGAGGGTTGCTTCCTTTAACATTCTCGAAGGAGGGAGGCAGAGAAGGGTGAGTCTGTATGTTTGGTGGCACAAAGTTGAGAAACTTCCCTCTGTTGGCTTTGTTTTCTTCTGTGACGTTGTTTGGAGACAAATCCCTCTGCTGGGGATGAGGGAGGAGGGGGTAGTCTTGAGGTGGTGATTGCAGAAGAGGAGACAATAGGTTGACAAGACAAACACTGCACGATGTAATTTGTGTAGAAATTCACAAGCTAGTTCTAAAATTCATATGGGATTAGAAAGGCTCTGGAATATCCCAAACACCTTTGAAACAAACAAACAAACAAACAAACAAACAAAACAACGTTGGAGAACTAAGATCTGGAATATCCCAAACAAGTTGGAAAAAAATAAATGTTGGAGAACTAAGACTACCTGATACCAAGATTTATTATAAAGCTGCAGTGATCAAGACAGTACGATATTGACATAAAGGCAGAGAAATTGATCAATGGCACAAAACAGAAGGTCTAGACGTGGATTCATGACATACATAGATAACCAACATTACTCAAAGGTGTAAAGTCACTTCAATATAGAAAGCATAGCCTTTTCAATGGACAATACTGGAGGAACTGGATATTCACATGCCAGAAAGAAAAGAAAGAAAGAAAGAAAGAAAGAAAGAAAGAAAGAAAGAAAGAAAGAAAGAAGGAAAGAAAGAAAGAAAGAAAGAAAGAAAGAAAGAAAGAAAGAAAGAAAGAAAGAAAGAAAGAAAGAAAGAAAGAAGGAAAGAAAGAAAGAAGGAAAGAGAAAAAGAACTTTGCTTTATACCTTGAACCATATCCGAAAATGAACTCAAAATGGAATATAGACACAAATGAGAAGCCAAAAAACTATAAAACTTCTAGAAGGAAACATAAGCAAAAACATTTTTGTGATGGTGAATAAGGCAAAGATTTCTTAGATAAGAAACGAAAAGCATGATTCATAAAGGAAGCAAATTAATAATAAGGGTCCCATGAAAATTAAGAACTCCTTTTCAGAAGACTGTTAAGGAATTGGAAAGAGAAATCTAGACTGAAAGAAAATATTTGAAAATCATATTTCTGATAAAGGACATTTCCCTGGGACCATCACCTGAGCCAAAATCAAGAGTCAGATGCTCAGGGCGCCTGGGTGGCTTAGTCGGTTAAGTGTCTGACTTTCGCTTAGGTCATGATCTTGCGGTTCGTGGGTTCGAGCCCCGTGTTGGGCTCTGTGCTGACTGCCAGCTCAGAGCCTGGAGCCTGTTTCAGAGTCTGTATCTCCCTCTGTCTCTGACCCTCCCCTGCTCACGTTGTCTCTCTCTCTCCTAGAAATAAATAAGAATATTAAAAAAAAAAAAAAAAGAGTCAGATGCTCAACCAACTGAGCCACCCAGGTGCCCCTCATTTCTTAAACATTTAAATCATTATTAAAATATTGTCAAACGAAAAAGCAAAAACTATATACTATAGCAGGTATAGAGAAGGCCTTCTATGTTCCCATAATCTTTCCTACATACCCTGTCCTGAGTTTGAGTTTTATAATTTCTATACATTTTGTATTTTCCATATTTATGTACTATAAAAATATACACCATTCTGTATATTTTAAAAATTTGTATCAATTGAAATAAATCACCATACATTTGCCTTTTAAAAAAAAGAATATATAAAACATTTTAAATAAAACAATTCAATTTTTAGTTAGGCAAAAGAGCCCACTCAAAGAGTTTCCAGTGACCAAAGCAGGAACAATTTGAGTAGCAAAATAAAAGTAAGATTGAATAATAACCCAAAGTATAAACTAAGTATCCATGAGTCCATACTGAAACAAACAAGCAGTTGAAGAAGAGCACAAATGGTGGAGAAGAGACAAATCTCCCAAGCAGAGAGATTTATGTAGATATCCTGCTACTTTGCCCTCAAGGAAGGAAAACCTAACTCTCACCCCTAAGTGTGGGCTGTGCACAGTGACTTCTTTCCAAAGGGCATATTATAGAAAGGGGGAGAAAGAGCAACTTCACAATGGAGAAACCCAATAAACACCATTGCATGCAGGTGCAAGGCCAACATCATGGGTGATATGCCATGGGGATAGCATGTACCCTTGATATAATGTGATGACAATGGCAGTTTGCCTCTGTGGTCTTCCTCTCTGGAACCCAGAACCCTAGTCTAATCATGAGAAAAACATAAGACAAACCCCAACTAAGGAAATTCTGCAAAATATCTGGCCAATATTCAAATCTGCAAAGGTCATTAAAAACAAGGAGAGTCGGGTGCTTAGGTGGCACAGTTGGTTGAGGGTCTGACTTAGGCTCAGGTCATGATCTCACAGTTTGGTTTGTGTGTTCAAGCCCTACATCGGTCTTGGTGCTGTCAGCGCAGAGCCTGCTTCAGATCCTCTGTCCCTCTCTCTGTCACTCCCTCACTTGTGCTTCTCAAAAATAAACATTAAAAACAAACATAAAACAAGGAGAGTCTGAGAAAGTGTCACGGATAAGAGGAACCTAAAGAGACATCATGGCAGAATGTGATGTGGTCTCCTGAAGGGGGTCCTGGATCAGAAAAAGGACATTAGCTTAAAAAGTAAGGAAACCCAGGGGCCCCTGGGTGGCTTGGTTGGTTGAGCATCTGACTTCGGCTCAGGTCATGATCACACGGTTTGTGAGTTTGAGCCCCGCATTGGGTTCTGTGCTGACAGCTCAGAGCTGGAGCCTATTTCTGATTCTGTGTCTCCCTCTCTCTCTGCCTCTCCCCGACTCATGCTCTGTCTCTCTCTGTCTCAAAAATAAATTAAAAAAAATTTTTTTAAAAAGTAAGGAAATCTGAATATATGGCTTCAATTAATAACTTATTAATATTAATTAATTGTAAACACTACACTATACTATGTACCAAATTTTACATGTACCATAAAATAACATCTAACAGATATGAAACATTATAAAAGGGAATGGGGAATATATGGAAGCTCTCCATACCATTTTCATATTTTTTTCTGTAAATCTAGAACTATTCTTTTTTTAAAAATTTTAAAAATGTTTTTATTTATTTCTGAGAGAAAGAGAGAGAGAGAGAGACAGCGAGAGCAGGGGAGGGCCAGAGAGAGAGGGAGACACAGAATCTGAAACAGGCTCCAGCACAGAGCCCAATGCAGGGCTCAAACCCAGGAACCTGAGATTATGACCTGAGCCGAAGTCGGACGCTCAACTGACTGAGCCACCCAGGCGCCCCTAGAACTATTCTTAAATAGTGGGAAATGACCACCAGAATTGAACACTTCAACAAAGAAGATAAATAGATAGCAAATAAGCACATGGAAAGATGCTGAACATCATTAGTCATTAAGGAAATGCAAATTAAAATCACAATAAAATACCACCATACCACCATTAAAATGGCTACAATGGAAAAGACTGACCATTTCAAGTGTTGGTGTACACACACACACATATGTACATTCACCATACCCCCTTGACATTCCACTCCTAGGTATTTACTCAGGAGAAATGAGAGCATATGTTTGTACAAAGATTCCATGAGTATTCATAGCAGCTTTACTCATGAGAGCCGCAAACTGGATATGACCTAAATATCCATGAATGGGGGAATGGATAAACGAACTGTGGTATCTTCATAAATGGAACGGAATTTAAAAAGGAGTGAACCATTTATACATGCAATAACACAAGGAATCTCAGAATAATTATACTGAGTGAAAGAATGCAGACCATAAAGAGCCCATACTGTAAGTCCATACTGGAAATGTCTACAATGACAGAAAGTGGGGGAAGGAGGGAAGGGTCACAAAGGAGCATGAAGAAACTTTGGGCATGATGGATGATGGTTCACTCTCTTGATTGTGGTGCTGGTTTCTCGTGTGTGTGTGTGTGTGTGTGTGTGTGTGAGAGAGAGAGAGAGAGAGAGAGAGAGAGAGAGAAGTTAAGCTGTGAGAGAAGGAAGGGTGCAAGAGAAGGAAGAAGGCCAAGATGGAAGGAAGGAAGGAATGAAGGAAGGAAGGAAGGAAGGAAGGAAGGGAGGGAGGGAGGGAGGAAAGAAGTCGGTCAGCCTGGCCAGGCATGCCTGGATGCCAGATGGATATTTTGGACACGGCATCCTCTGAGCTCCAACCTCGCTCATCCAACCTCACTCAACGCCCACAGGCACACGTCTGTGTGGGGAATGTGGATTTTCAAGCACTCCGGCAGGCAGTGCCCTTCCCTTTGGCAGAAGGCTCTGCCAGGAGAGGCCAAGGGTGGAGAGGGAAGCTTGCCCAGCAGCAGGAATAATTAGGAGGATTGAGTCTTTAGGAGGGCGGAAAAGGGGGATGCCAGGAGGTGGGTGGAGGCATCTAGGATGACGAGGTGACGCTGCAGGTGTGGCTTGCTGCTGGAGCTGAGCCCCCTCCAGAAACCAGTAGGGCGGAAGGCTGGAGCCGACTCCCATTTTTCTGTTCCCAGATGGCAGGTGGGAATTAAGAGTGTGGCTCTGGGCACCAGCCACCATTTCTCAGGATGTGTCATACCTCCTGCTCGCATCTGGTGCCGAGAGGAAAATCCAGCCCCACCAAACCCAAGAGGACTTAGGGGTGGAGCTGAAGGCCACACTGACAAAGCCATGCAAACAGTGGCAGATCAGAAGAGGAGTCAAAAATAGCTGGTAGCCAGCACGAGACATTTTCTTCCTTATGAGTTGTGTCTGTTCCTACTTGGAGTGATTCCAGGACCTCTGGGAAAGCCCGCCATCCTCCACACACTGCCCTAATTCTTTAGTGGATGCCCGAAATGCTACTATTAGAATTTTGTCCTTGGCTTTGAGACTGCCATTTACAGCATGATGTCCACAGCAGTTAACAGTAAAAGGATGGGGGGAGAGGGAGACAGCTCTGGGTTCCTCCCAGAGGCTCACAGAGGGGCTACTGAGAAATGGGGGAGACCAGAGATGCTTAGCAAGGCACTTTGTAACTCTCCCCAGGGCTTGTCCCGAGACGAAGAGAAAGAAATTCTAGGGGAGAGACAGGCAGCCAGCCTGCAACCTGAAGTGCAGTGGGGTCTCCTGAGGCAGGGAACTGATATCTGCTCTAAAATCTTGGCCCCAGATCAGGGGATTCCCCCAACCCCAGTCCCCAGTACATGCCATCATAGAGGAAAGAGTGAAGGGGCTCCCCAGCTGGTAGTGGGACGGACTCCAGGCCCTTGCCAGCCCCTCCTATTCCCCAGGCTCTGTAGATGAGACCCCATTTCTACCCTTCGGGTGGTCATCCTTTTGGAAACTTGGGGCTCAGTTCTCACATCTGTCACCCATGTCAGTGTGTGGGGGGTATTGTCAGAGAAGAGTCAGGGTCAGGGGGAGTCTGTCCTGCAGAGAGCTGAGAAGAGGTGCCTGTCTCCAAGGTCAGAGGGTCAGTGGGCTGGATTGACTGTGTCTAGGAATAAAATTCTGACGTAGGTCCCAAGATCAGTCTCCTGATACAGAAGAGAAAACCGAGGTGTTGGGAGATGAATTGCCTACTCAAGGTCAGCAGGATTAGTACTGCCAGGAACCAGGATTTAACCCTCTTTACAGATTAGGAACCAGGATTGAGAGGACAAGTGATTTCCCTGAGTTCACACAGCCGGTGGGGTGGGGGCTGAGAATCCTGATCCAGGCCTTCTTGCATCCATAACCCACGTTACCTCCATCCTTCTCTCCTGCTTCTCCTACCCCTTGTGGGGAGAATGGACTCAGGAGAAAGGAAAGAGTCAGGACAAGGGGAGCTTGGGAAAGCAGGAAGCAACTTTGAAGGAAATAAAGACAACACATCCTACCACGTTCGATCCCTTAACCCTCACTTCTAAAACATATATGTTTTAAACTACATACCCAAGAAGTTCACCACAGCATTCCTTACAATAGTCAACATTTGCTAACTCAAAGGAATGATCAAAATTTGCTATACGACTACAGTGAAATATCAAACAATTGCCCAAAAAGACAGTCACAAAGACCATATGACAACATGGGGGGGGATGGGGGACGGGGAAACACTTCCAATACAACATTAGTAAACACTCATTGATCCAGGAATCCCTTTTTCTGGAAATATGTTCTATGGGCACAATAATAAGTATGGGGAAAGCCTTTTTTCTTCCCTTTTATCAAGGATGTTTGCCATGGTCTTCATGGAGTTAGCGTGTGTAATACACGCCACTGGAATCTTCCACACATGAAAGCCCGGAGGATGTACAAGTGTAGGGACCATACTTGCTAAACCAACACAGGGCACAGGCACTTCCCTCTCATTTGTTGATCAATATGTCACTCGGGGTCTTACACAAATGTAATCTAGTCACATCTAGTTCTACATTAACAACATGATTGTCTTTGAAAAGAATAAACTGAAATGACACGAGAATGGAATCCTCCATGAAGATACCAGCTATGTGTTTCCTAAACATGGTTCTTAAATCCAGAAATATGTCTGTACAAAAGCCTATCCACTGACCCAGCAGTTACCCTAAAAAGCACTTTCCCACAGAGATCCCAGTTTCTGGCCACAGCGGCCTGCCCTGAACAACGCAGGCTGCCGGATCCCTGCGCCCATTTCGAGAACTCCTGGGAAAGGCAATCTCCGGTTCACAAAGGGGAGGGAAGGCTCCTCGACTCAGCCCTTCTACTTCCTGTCTTTGCCCCGCCCTTCCTGTCTTTGCCCCGCCCCCAACCCACCCCTTCCTTGGGGCCCACCTGGTACTTACTCAGCCGCCTCAAGTAGGAAACGGCATCTTCGTACCCTCGGTAGTAGTAGTTGTGCAGGATCTGCAAGGACGAGACAGCGGGAGAAACAACTAAGGCTCAGCAATGGAGAGAGCCAACGTCCCTTCACCCAAAGCAGCTACTTTTCATTGCTCTTGAGCTTTTATTTGATGAGCTTTTCAAAATGTACGCATCCAGCATTCCATCCTTCACTCTCTGCTAAGAAGTGGGGAGCAGTTCCTGATCATGTGTCCATAGTGACAGCGCATTAGTGTGTTAAACCATTTACAGCGATCATCAGCTTCCCTTGGGCAGGAGAGAGGGAGATGTTTCTTGTAGAACCAGAGAAGGTGCATTTGGGTCATATGAAGAACAGAGTTTGGAGACTGGGTTCAAACTCCAGTGCTGTCACTTCTTGGCTCACAGCCTTCAGTTTCTTTACCTCTAAAATGAGAATAATAATAATAATAGTAGTAGTATCTACTACAGAGGATGCTGGAGGATTACATGAGATATTGCTCACAAAGCCTATTCATAAGGGGCCAGATAATAAATATTTTGGGCCTGGAAGCCACAGATAGTCTCTGTCTCTTCTTGTTGTTCTTCATGTTCTTATTCTCATTCTTCTTGGTCTTCTCCCTCTCCTCCTCCTCCTCCTCCTTCTCCTCCTCTGCCTCCCCCTCTTCCTCCTCTTCCTCCTCCTTCTCTTCCTCTTCTTGTTTTTCATCTTGTTCTTCTTCCTCCTCTTCTTCATCTCCTTCTGCTCTCTCTTCTTGTTCTTCTTCTCCTTCTTGTTCTTCTTCTTGTTCTCCCCCTCCCTCTCCTCTTCCTCCTCCTCCTCCTCCTCCTCCTCCTTCCTTTTCTCCTTTTCCTTCTCTTCCTTCTTCTTCTACAACCCTCTAAAAATGGAAAGCTTCTTCTGAGCTCACAGGCCAGAACAAAACACAATGCACCCTGAGAATGGAAGTCAAGTACTGATTGTGAGCAGAAAGTCGAGTTCGAGGCTCTGATGGATGCATTTCTTCCATCTTTCTTGAACTGCCTATCTGTGGATTGCTTTTAGGAGAATATTTGACACAGTCTTTACTGATAAATTAGTATAAGGCAGATGCTAGAATTCCTAATGCAACAGTTGGAGGCCAAAGAATCAATCAGATTAATAAAATTCTTGTGTGTCCATAGCCTGACTAAGCATAATAGTGTTTTGCCTATGAGTTTTATAAATAATAATTAGACTGTAAGTCACAAAACTGGCTTAGAGGAGTTATCATTCAAACAACAATTACTGAGAAACTTCTGTAAACAATGCCCTCTGTAGACATAGTGAATGTAGTCAAAGAAATGAGTAAAGCTTGATGCTTGCTTCTAGGATCACACTTCTGTGCTGAAGAAAGACATGCATTTTGTAAGTGATTAAAAAAACATTTTTTAAAAAATAAACTTTATTTTGGGGGCACCTGGCAGGCTCAGTTGGTTAAGCGTCTGACTTGGCTCAGGTCACGATCTCACAGTTCGTGAGTTCGAGCCCCGTATCAGGCTCTGTGATGTAGCACAGAGCCCACTTTGGATCATCTGTCCCTCTCTCTCTCTGCCCCTATCTCGCTCACACTCTCTCTCTCAAAAATAAAGGAAGAGTAAAAAAAAAAATAGACTTTATATTTTTGAGTAGTTTTGGAAATTTAAAAATAAAAACAAAAAACAAGCCACTGGCTGGATTTGGCCCATGGGCCATAGTGGCTGATGCCTACATTGCATGTCAGAGGGGAAGAGTTCAGGTGACATTCTTATCATCAGTTCTGACATCATCTCATTTTATGGGGGAGAAAATTGAGGCTGGAGCACTTAGGGGCCTCATTCAAGGTCACATAGCTGGTTAGGGGCAAGGCCACGATACAGGTTTAGAAGGAAGTATAAGGAGATATAGATGGAGCTGCGTGAGTCCCATTGGCTCCCTGGCCACATCTCCCAGTCCCGCTCCCTTCCAGGTCGGTCCTCTCACCAGCAGGTCTGGCGGGAACAGGGCATGGGTCATCCTGGCGATGTTCTCCAGGGAGAACTGGAAGGAGCAGTTGAACATGCGGAAGTCATGGAAGATGGCAGGGCAGTCCCGGGGGCAGATGTCCTGCTGCCCGCTGAAGGTGGAGATGGTGATGGAATCGGTCCAGAAGGAGCAGGGCTGCATGCCCGTGAAGCCCCCGTCGATGTAGCGCTATGAGGGGCAGGCAGATTGATACATGCTCATCAGGGGTCAGGGGTCCTCTTTCCCACCCAGGGAGTTCACCCAGGAAATGGGTCCCTTGGGACAAACCTTGAGACCCAGGTCCAGGTGGGTGAGTGGTTGTACCCACGGTGGCCCCTGAACGCCCAGCCCAGTGCTCTGTCTCTATGCTGTTTCCCCACAGCCGTCTCAGTGATGCTGAGATGGGGCTCCCAGGCCTCTGTGGGGAGAAGGCCTTCTGAACTCTGGATACAGCAAGAGCAAGTGCTGTCCCATCACACCTCCCCCACCCTGGCTACCCCACCCGAGCCATTCAACTGTTGAGAGCAGGCTTGCGAATGGAGCCTGTTCCCATGGCCTTTTGAGAAGATGAACACATGGTGGGTCTCTGCAGGTCTCTCCAGATTCCCGTGAGTCCAAACTGCCTCCCTCTTTTGAGGTCAGGTCCCCTCAGCACCCCTGATCATGGCCTAGCCACCAGCCACCCCACGTTCCTTCCCTCCTGGTGCTTCTGTTTCCTCAGCTATGAACAAAGGACCACAGATACTGAGACTCTAACTCTCTGCGGTGCCTGAGAAGTACCCAACTGACATGTAATATGTGCTCCATCTATTAGCTGAATCCTGGATCTCATTTTCTTCGCATATAACATGAGAAGGGGGCACAGGTTAGATCCTTCTCCTCAGAGTGTGGTGCCTGGACCAGCAGCCCTGGCATCCGCTGAAGCTGGTTAGAGGGGCAGAGTCTCTGGCCCCAGGCCTAGTGGATCAGATTGTACATTATTTTACAAGACCTCCCTGGGTGATTCATATGCACTAGCCTAGATGACTTTAAAGGTCCACCTCATTCCCGGTTCCGGGTACCAATGTCACAGGGTCTGTATCCTACACTCTCTGTCAAGTATGAGAAAATCCAGCAAGCCTATGGAGTTTTGACTAGCCAGGCTCAGAAATGAGTTGGTGGGTCTAGAGTCAAGCCCACTATATGGAGGGGAATCTCATCTGAAAGTCCCAGAAACCCATCTACACTGCGGATTCTAAGTAGAAAAATCCAAGAATCTTTCCAACTCTTGGTCTTCCCATTGGATTGTGAGACCACCCCCTACTCTCCCAGATGGGGGCCGCACCCCGGGGCCTGGCTTGCCCCCTCCTACTGCAAACACTCACCACGCCCCGGTAAGTTGGAGGAATGAGGCCGCAGTACACGGGGACGAAGCAGCTGCAGTAAAGTGCCTGTGGGAAGAGAAGGAGCTGAGATACCCTGGTGGCTGGGTGGTGAGGGCTCACCGGCAGGCCTCTGGGCCACCAGCGTCCTGGCCTTTCCTGGCCCTGGGGAGCAGAGTGCCCAGTTCAATTCCTGGCCTGGCCCTAACTAGCTGGGTGCTTGTTAGCCTCCTAGGTAGTCTGGGCCTGATATGCCAGCTTTAAAGAGAGGGTACTGCCTCAGTGACCCCCAGGGTCCCTCCTAGCACCATATCTCCATGAATCCAATGGAACTCAATAATCATTCATGTATATGTGGCCAGGGCCAGGCTCTGAGAGCAAAGGAGGGTGAGATGCCCGCCCTTGGGAATGCTCAACGAGGGAGAGTAAGCATGTCATTTACTAATGACAGCACATGGTGTGACAGGCGCTGTAATGGAGATGAGCAAGGGCATGTGGCCCCTACGGAGGAGTATCCAGCCCAGGGGAGTGTGGTGCAGGTTGGTGATGAAGGAAAGTTCCCAGGCAGAGTGGCTAGAGTCTTGTCAAGAAGGTGAAGTGAGCTGGGAAAGAGGGAAGGGCATCCCGGGCAGAGGGCGTTGCAGGTGCAAAGGCACAGAGGCCTGTTTTGTGTGGTTTGCTCTGGTTGGCATGAGTAAGAGCAGAGCCGATAGAAGGAGGCTAGGAGAGAAACATTTTGAAGAGCTGAGTGTTAATAAATCCAGGGGGACACGAGGTAGGTAGAGGAGGTGTCCATGCCCATTGCCTGTTCGTTCTCTCACCCAGAGGATCATGGCCATGCCAGCGTGGGGCTGTGAGGATGGCTGGCAAGGGCCTTGTATTCCAAGAGGAGAGGAGAGGAGAGGGGGGCGGAGATATGGGATGGAGGGTCATGCCACTTAACCCTTTTGTCCTGAAAATTGGGAATATCCACAGCGCTTTCCAACATAATAATTCATAACTAAAATTTATATTGATGAGCCTAGGACAGTGCACAGAGTGCCCTTTCCTAAGTGACAACCTATGTGGTGATAATTCAATCCTTTTATCAAGGGCCATTGGAAGATGGGACAGAATGGGGGACTGTCTCCCCAAACTGGGACCTGCTCCCTCGTCCAGCCCCCACACCCCGGGCCCCGCCCCTTGCCTCAATGAGCTCCTCCTTGGATGTGTACTCTGACACCACGACACTCTCTCCATCTGTGAACCGAGTGAGGGACACATGGAGCTTTCCTGTGGCCGCTTTGTAGGAGTCCTCAGGCAGGACCTTGTACAGAAACTGCCTCATCATCTGCACCATCTTGCAGGATGGGGACAGGGGTCCCAGGAAGGATTTCTTCACCTCGGCCACACCTACATTGAGGACTCTGAGGTACTCATCTGTGGAGGAAGCAGAGGGGGACCGGCGGTCAGCAGCTCATGGGTAAGAGAGGTCACCGGCAATTAATGCCACCTCACTGTGTCTCCGACAGGGGGGAAACTCTAGAATCCGGAAGCAGGGCTGGCCTCCGGAGTCGGCTTGTCGCTCTGCACACGAGGAAAACGAGGCACATGGAAGAATTAAGTCACTGGCTCCAGAGAGTCCCCAGGCTAGTCAATGGCAGAGCCAGACCCAGGCATCCTGAGCCATTTCATATCGAGGACAAGGGACCACGTTTCTACCCCACACTATTTTCTCCAGCTTCCTGTCACCACATCTGGAAATCTACCACCAGACTACATTCTTCTGGGCTCGTATGGGCTTTTTGCCCTGTGTGAGATTCCTCTTGAAACACTGATACAGTGCAAACCCTTCACCGAGTGACACCCTCTGACACTTGCTTCATGCCCCCTAAACTTGTGGGCAGGGAAGGGGCGTCGGCCTTGAGGCAGGTGAATTACAAGGAGGGGCCAACTTAGTCTTGAAACAATTGCATCATCTTCCCTTTATAGCCCCTGGTACAGGCCTGAGAGAGGGAAGGCCGTGAGCACAAGCTATGCCAGGCCAGGCTGTAGGCACCTCTGGGATGGGGAGAAGACCCTTCTCCCTCTTTCTTAGAGGAACACAGCCAGGTCACATACAGGCCTGCACGTGCCAGAAGGGGCTTGGAGGGCAGACGTATTGTTGAGGGAATTGCAGAGGAAGGTGTAACCTGTCCCCAGAATTCCCCTGGGGAAGTTAGGGTTGTAATTACAAAAAGAAACGGTTATCTTGCCGGATTCTCACAGCAACACCATAAGGTAGGTATTTCCATCCTCATTTTACTGATCAGAAGACTGAGGCTCAGAGACATACTATAACTGACCCAAGGTCAGATCCCTGGCGAGTGAACAAAGTGGGATTTTAACCTGGAGTGTGTGACCCTCGAACCCATAGTGCTTCCACTACACTAAGCCACAAGCTTCTAGAACCAGGCCTGTACCTACTACTTTGCCAGTTGCTGTTAATTTCTACCCCGTGCAAGCCCTCTGGGAAAATCAGAAGCAGAAATAGCTCTGAAAAGGACTGCTGACTTCTTAAAACAAACATTTAACTGGAAAACATCCTATGCAGAAGAACTTTCTTACAAGTAGTGTCACGTAGCATTTGGGAAGTTGGGCGGTCGTGAGCTCTCCTGCCGCTGGAGGTAATCAAGCAGAGGTGGGGCAAGTACCTCAGTCAGAGACCTTATCAAAGAGATTCCTGCATGAGTGCTAACACTCCTTCCAACATGGAGATTCTGAGATTCTCATGGGTGCCTGGCAATATATCTGGGGAGTTATCACGGTAGGTATTATTTTCCTACTTATAAATAGAGCAGCTAAGGCACAGAGAGGTTAAGTGATTTGCCCAAAGTTACACATAGCAATTTAGAGACAAACCAAAGCTCGGGACTCTCTCCTCCTTCATGTTTTACAGTTGAGATTATTCCCCATTAATCCCGGAGGTGGATAGGGTAAAGAGATTTAGCATCATTTTACAGATGTAGAAACTGAGGCAGAGAGAAGCTAAGCGCCTTGTCTGAGATCAGAGAGCCAGGCAATGTTTGCCCCCACTCTAAACCCCACCTTCTTTCCCTGGGTGTTGGGCTGATCCCAGAGGCTGAGCAAGCTTGGGTTGCCATGGCGACAGCCTTTTTTTTTTTTTTCTTTCCCCACTGACATCCAGAATCACAGCTGCCTGTGTGTAGTAGGGATTGACCCGAGCAACAGAGCATCTTAGCTGTCACCCTCTTACAGGAGAGGGTGCTCCTGAGAGATGGGAAGGCCCAGTGGTTTGGGTACGGTTAGCTTTGCCGTGTGCCAACTTGTACCAGCAGTTTCCCCTCGAGGGAGGGCGATGACGGACTCACCAGTAGTTACCAAGCAACTGCTCATTTGGACGCCAAGGGGCTAGGTCACAGGGTCACAGAGTTCTCGCCCACAAGACCGGTCAGGATGGGGAGGCAAACCAGGGTGGGGACATGCTGTTTTAATGAGCAGCTTGAGTGGCCTTACATGGGTTGGTGCCTTCCCCACAAGGCCTCTGAGCCGGGGGCACCTGGTTCAGGACTCTGGGCAAGAGATGCTTACTAGGACTGCTGGAAGAACATGTGCTCCCATTGCACAAAAAACGCACGTTCCTTGTGGAAAAAAAATAATTTCGGAACATGCAGGTCAGCAAAAAGAAAAAAATTAAAGGGTTTAGGGATCCCTCCAACCAGAGATTAACATCTAGCTTATGTCCTCCTCGACGATATATTTCATATGTATTCTACTTATAAGAATACTTAGATGGAGTCATACTATACACACTGTTTTGTAATTGATTGGGTTGTGGGGTTTTTTTAACCTAATAAATCATGTCTTTCCACATCGGTAAGTACCTATTTATAACCCAATTTACAGCAGCGTGGAAAGCTATTGTAAGGTTGTACCATTATTTACTGAGCAGGTCCCCAGTAGGGGGGCGGTTATTTATTTTGTTTCTTTGCTTTTTCTAAACAATGTTGCAGTAAAGAATCTCGTGCTAATTGTGCGCGTGAGCTGGCGCCTGTGTGTGTGTGCGTGTGTATGTGTGTGTGCCCCTATGTCTTGTCCTTAATTATTTTCCTTAGGATAAATTCCTAGAGGTGGGGATGCTAGGTCAAAGGCATGCATATTTCATCTTGTAATGCTTATTTGAATCATAGCATTTGTGTATTATTCATTTACAGTTTACTCTCAGCTCTTCACCAGTGGTGATGGGTGACAGGGCCAAAGCAGTGGCCAGATAATAGAAGTAATATAGACCTCTCCTACATGCTTACATCTGAAAATGGTGCTGTCTAGAAATTAGCAGTGCTCTAGCCAGAATCATGTAGCCGGGGAGTGAGGGGGCAAGAGATGGTCTGATTTCTCTCCCTCCGGTGCCCAGTTTAATATTCTTTCTTGCTGCACGGAGGGACCGTACAGCAAAGGATGCCTTTACCTCTGCCTCTCCTTGCTCCTTTTCAGGGCTCTCTGTGTGTCTCTCTGTCATCAAAGTCTCTGACCATCCCTTTCTCTGTCTCTCTTTGTCTCTCTCTCTCTCCCTTCTTTCTCTCTCTTTTCTCAGCCGAGGAAGAAGCAACTAATCTTCTGGTGAAACAAGTCTCTGTTGGTAGAGAGTCAAGTGTTAAGCATAGCAATTGCTGGGTGCTGGGAGGAGGGATAAATTTAGCTTGCTTCTTTATCTCTGTGCTTTCCAGCACCTTCTCCCATTTAACGGCCTCCTTCCAAGCTGCAGGCTGCTGGACTCGGAGACACAGTATCCTACATTGACCACAGCAAGATGGGACTTAAAAGCAGCACCACGGGAAACTCAAGGTTGGCTCTCCCACCCCCAACCCACATTTGCCACATTCATTTCTGCTTCCTCCCACCTCCTTTCACACCTTTTATTATCTAAGTGCAGTCTGTCTCCCAAGCCAAGAAGAAGATTCTTTGGGGGAAGATCCTTATGGTCCTCGCCTCGCTAAGGCCTGTGGAAGTCCCTTCAGAAACCTTTGCTAGAAGCTGGAAACTCCTCAAGGACAAGGACATACTCACCTTTGCCCACCAAACCTTCCATGACACTTGATGGGTGTTCAATGTTTATTCAGTATGTGAACAAAGACACATAAAAACCTGTCAGGGAGGAAGAGCAGGTGATGCAGATACTCCCAGGGAAGAGCTAACTTGACTTAATTACGTACTAAAAGCCTGAAGGCAAGGTCATCCCAGATAGATGTATGGTTCAATGGTATTGATAACCATGGCCAATTGACCAAATTTTATGTGTCTGTCGTGCCACGAATTTCAATAGAAAAATAAAGAAATAAGATCCTGAGACTAGGAGGTTTTGAAGGGCATTTGAAACCCACTCCAGGTCTCAGCCACTCAGAGAGTCTTTTTACTCTTTTCCAGGACCAGATCCATGTCCTGGAAAGAGCTCAGGCTTTGGAGCCAGGGAGGTGGGATTAAAATCCCAGCTTTGCCACATACTATCTGGGCCATCACTGGCAAGTCAGATAACTTCTTCCAGCCTCCGTTTTACAATCTGTAAAATGGGAATAATAATACCTTGCTGGGTTGTTATGAGGCAGATGGTTTTTTAAGTGCCTGCCCATAGTAAGTGCTCACTATCAGTTATGCCAAGAATTCTCCTTGTGACCACAGAGAAGTCTTCCTGATGTTTCTGGCTTTCAGCTTTCTCATTTGAACAGGGGACAATGATCCCTGCCCTGCATCTTTATCGAGGTGTGCTCGGGCTCACTTTTGGATGCAAAGGAGCAAAGTAAAAGCACTGTGGAGATGAGAGTGTGCCTCTGTTTCACAGTGCAGTAAGGTGCTAGGTCAGCTGTAATGTAGTACTGTTGAAATTAGCACTCTCTCCTTCTGTCAACTTGGGGGGCTCTCCAGACTTAGTAGGGAAAAGGGGCAGAGCTCAGAAATATCACTGAAGAAGAAGGAAAGGAATTAGATGTATGTTTATCTTATTTATTTGCTTAAATGTCTAATGTTTTCCCACCCCCACCCAGATCCCCTGCTTTGTGAGAGCAAGGATGGTCTCTATCTTGTTTATCCATCTGTCCCTAGCGCCTGATACGGTACCCGGAACAGGGTAGGCCCTTAATAAACATGATTGCATGCATGGACAATGAATAGATGAATGAACCTCAGGAATCAGAGGACACTGAGGTCCAGAGAGAGAAGCAGCTTATTCGAGGTGACCTGAGAATAGAACACGCTTCTCTTCCCCTCCTCCACACGGCCTCTTGCGAAGTGAAAAATCCTAGGAAGATGGGCACGTGGCGGCTGACAACTTAAACTGCTGGGGAATCTCCTTCACAGGGTGCCCATATGGGGTCTGCAGCGCGGGATGGATCTGTGGTGGAGGATGGGACGGCGCGGAGGCCCCCAGTCTCCCGCGGACTGGTAGC